CCATCTCAGTGGGGTCAGGACTGCAACCACCCCAGGATGCGAGGCCAGGCTCAGGCACTGGACGCTGGGGTGAAGGGCCCACGTCCATTAGCTTGACCAAGGACTCTGCTCCCCATGCACCATGGGGCCTGGGGAGAGGTCAGCAGTGGGTGTGTATGACCTGGGGCCTGCTGACCCTCCGAGAACAGAGGCCGAGATGAGGCTGGGCACCAGGTGGGTTCGGGGTCAGGGAGGAGACCCTCAGGGCTCCCCTGGCCTCCACTGCCTCAAGTCCCAGCTGTGCCCCAACTCCTCCTCACCACCCATGCAGATACGCCTCAGTGGGAGAAGCGTGGGGTGCACACCCACTCGAGACAGTGCTTCCTAGGGGTGTCTCCTGCGGCAAATACAGAGCCAGCTGTTCGCTCTGTTCCTTACACCAGCAAACCCACCACGGCAGGAGCTGGTCCGGAAGGCACCCCAGGCCCACGGAGGCCTCAGTCGAAGCGCACCGAGGAGCGGATGCTGTGGTCTGCCCCGCGGGCGTCGGGCTGGGCTGGATGGTGAGCCCAACTGTCCAGGCCACAGGCCCCAGGACACGAGTAGACAGGAGGGACAAGGAGGCAGCAGGATCTCACCAGGAGCCTGCAGGGGGCGTGGCCCCGCTCTGCCTCTGCCCCAGTGCTCACGTGGCCACCTGCGCAGTGAGGAGTCCACGGAGCCACAGCTCAGTGGGGCTGCTGCTGTGTTTGCTTTTAAGTAATTTACACTCTTTTTTAAAAGTATGTTTTTAACATATTTATTGATTTCAGAAAGAGGCAGGGAGAGGGAGAGAGCAACATCCATGATGAGAATCGTTGATGGGCTGCCTCCCGCACGCCCCACACTGGGGATGGAGCCTGCCACCCGGGCATGTGCCCCAGCCAGGACTGGAACCTGACCTCCTGGTTCCTAGTCCAGGCAGTGAGTGGGAGCACCTCCTCCTGGGACCACCTTGACCTCCTCCCAAGTCAGGGATGCAGTGGTCCCAGCTGTCCAGTGGGAGCAGACACCTCCTTCAGGAAGCCATGGGATGAAATGACCCTGGCATGCCGGGCAGGCCGTGGGCACCCCAGTGAAACACGTCTGCTGCTGCTGCTATGGCTCCAGCCAAGCTCAGCTTCTCCCTGAGGTGAGGAGCCATGGCCTGTCCCCGCTGAGCAGAGCTCTGGAAATGGGAGGAAGTGGCCGCTGGAGTCACAGCCGATCCAGGCTGCTCCTGGCCAGGGTAGAACCACCAGCCCCGGCTGAACACCACCTGGCAGGCTGCCCAGAGGCGGGGCAGGGCTCTGACCACGGGGAGTGCGGGCGGTTTCCCAAGGAGGCCGTGCTGCGGGCAGCAGCGACCCGGGTGCCGCGATGCCCTCGGCCCGGCTCTCTGGGAGCCGTCAGGGTGTGGATGCTGGGTGTCCCCCCGTGACCTCACCGCAGGCCTGTCCCCTGTTGCAGTGCGTCCTGGGGGAGCAGCCACCAGGGGGTGGCAGAGGCCCACTGTCCTGTCCACAGGCTGGACTCGAAGTCCCTGCTTTTCACCCCAAAGTTGAAGTACACTCCCGGCACGCGGGCGATGTGGGGACAGGCTTCCAGGTAACATGTGGCTCTGAGGCCAGAGGTGTGGCTCTGCCGCCCCCTCTCGTTTTAGTGCATTTGCTGGGTGACATTGGTTAACGAAGCTGCACAGGTTCCGGCGTGCGATTCTCTACACATCTGGGTGCTCACCACGCCCGCCCAGCCTGGCCTCCTCCGTCTCCCTTTGTGCCCTGTGCCCACCCCTCCTGTCTGTTTACTTACCTCTCCTCTCCTACAAAGAGGGCTTCTTTCATCCTTTAAACTAGGGGTGTCGAACTCAATCAGAGAAGGGGCCAAAATCTAAAATCCAGTCTAAATCGCGGGCCGAATGGTTTACTGAACAGTCATAAACTGTCATTGTGATGGAAACGCAGCGGAGTGCAGTGATGACAGCGCGGTGCGGGCCACATTGCAAGGCCTGGCGGGACGCATTTGGCCCGCGGGCCTTGTGTTTGACACATGTGCTTTAAACCCTGAATTTTTTTTTTTTAATATGTTTTTGATTTCAGAGAAAAAGGGGGAGGGAGAAACATCAATGATGAGAGAACCATGGATCGGCTGCCTGCTGCATGCACCACACTGGGGATCATTGAGCCTGAAACTAGGCATGTGCCTTGACTGGGAAGTGAACCCTGACCTCCTGGTTCACAGGTTGATGCTCAACCCGAGCCATACCAGCCGGGCTCCTCTGGGAACTGAAGGGCCAATTTTCCCCTGAGCATGGCCTAGAGACGGGGGTGATGGCAGTGGAGCAGGGCTTTGGAACTGGTACATCATGGGCACAGGAACTAGGAGCCCCTTTGGATAAGAAGACTAAACCAAGAGCCAGCGCCTGGGCTTCCTGTTTGTAAACGTGTAAGCACCAAGGTAAGACAACTGTGAGCCCGCAGAGTGCGCCGGGCCAGCCGCAGTGAGCCTCGGAGCCAGCACGCCCGGGCGGAGTCCGCTCCAGGCGATGTTCCTGCCGTGTAGTCCAGCCTCCACCAGCGGTTCCGTACAGTCCCATCAGCTCATAACTTTCCGATCACGGGATAAATACTAATAAAAGCTGGTGTTTTTCAAACCAACAGACTTCGGACCATCCAGTTAAAACAACTGAGGAACCCTCCCGTGGAGGGTTAGCCTGGTGTCGCGAGGATTCCGCTAACAGGACAGGTCCAGCCTTAGGTTTGCACCTCCTGAGTGAGGCTAACCGTGTTGTGTGCCCCTAACGTGTCACACACATGCTGGGACGGTGCCCGCCTGTCCCCCAGGAGCCCAGGTCTGTGCAGCACCAACACGCAGCGCTGGGCAGGAGGAGGGTGACACCGAGGCAACAAAGCGACTGTGATAACATGACCTGTGATAACATGACCTGTGATAACACACAGCCGTAACCCGATGCTTCCCAGACCAGCGCTGCCAGACACGGTGACATTCGCCAGCAGCCGCGTCAGAGCCAGCGAGCAGGTGGGATTCGTGCCCATGTTCACTGGGCAGAATGGATCCCTGTCACCACAGGCGTCCTCACGAGCAAGAGGAACAGGCTGCTGCACCTTCTTCTGTGGACTAGCCCTTAAAACCTGGCGTGCAGCTGACACATACCGCGCGTTTCACAATTCAAGGGCCCCGGGGCCCCAGGACTGAGGCCACCCCGGGCAGTGCAGGTGAGAAGGCAGGTGTCACACACGTCTCAGAGGCCTGCGCTGGGGGAGCCAGGGGCTGTCGGAAGCTGACGTAACAGCAGGAGAGGATCGTGGAGAGGACTTCCTGGCAGCGGGGGAAGGGTGATGAGGGGTCCCTGTGCATCAGGCCCAGATGGGGAGGTGCCAGGGAAATGCAGAGGATGCAGAAGCCCGCGGTGCAGGCGGAAGCGACCCACTGACCCGTAACTGGGCCCCGACCCCCGTCTCCCGGCCCCCGGGCTGTCCTTTGGCGCACTGCATGGCCAGTTGAGGCCCCATCGCTGGCTTTATGTTTGACTGGAGCCACCCTCAGTAATAAACCGACCAGGAAGTGAGTGCCACCTGGGGGGTCGGCAACACGCAGACGCCGTGCTGCCAAAAGCTCCAAGCAGGACGCGCCAGGGGCCAGAGACAGACGCAGGAGGGCCAGCCCTGGCTGGTTCTGACCCAAGTCCTTTACTGGAGGAGATGAACCAGAGGCCTTACAGACCAATGTGCTCTGCCCACGGCCCGGCAATAGGTGGTGGAGACCTGGGAGGTGGTAGGAGCTGGGAGGAGGGGGGGAGGGGAGATGTCTATCATACTACCAACAACAGAGAGGGAGGATACACAGAGACCACAGTCACCCTATCACTCACAGCAAGGCACGCATGCAGCACTCGGCACCGACTCAACGGACTTCATTCCACGTCACAGCGTCACGTGCAAGTGAGACCGACAGGCCGGCACCTGAGCTCACAGCGGCAGTGTTGGCGTCCGGAGCCCGCTGGCGGCCAGTGGACAGGATCTGCGCTGATCGCAATGAGAGGCAGGGTGGGACAGAGTCCCAGCGCAGCACCGGGAGCTGGGGTTCCTGGGGGCGGGGCCGGATGGATCGGGGCCTCTGGGGTGGGGCAGCTCCACTTGGGGTGCACACCTTGCTCCATCCATCCTCCCACATCGCTTTACAATCTGGGAAATTGAGGCTCAGAGCCCTGCCACCCCTCCCCCCATAAGGGAGCATCGGGAGGGGGAAGGGCCGGGAAGGGCCGGGAAGGGGCGGGAAGGGGCCGCGCTGGGAGACGGTGCTGTCAGTGACATGGCCCAGACGCACCGCAGCCTGAGCTCCCCAAACAGAGCTTCGTGCACGTGACCTCTGGCCTGTAACCTGAATGACCACCCCCTCAGCCCAGCACCCCAAATCTAACAGCCCCTGCCAAGGCCGACCTGCACCTGGACCTTCTCGGGGTGAGTCTGGATGTCTGGCAGGCACTCTGTGTTGTCCATTCCAGATGGGCAAGTTTTCTACACGTTTCGCTCGTAGTTTTTGAAGGGCTCATCAGATCAGACCACCTTACTGAGGAGACTCTTCAGCCACATGACACTGCGAGGAGCAAGTAACACTCACGCCCTCCGGATGGCTGCGCCATGGGAAACCTCGAGAAGGAAACAGGACAGGAGTCCCTGCTGCGGACTCCCAGGATTGGACAGGACCAGCCACCGCCGGCTTGAGCTTTGGCACGCTCAGGGAGACCTCAGTGGGGAAGTGGTCGTGCAATGGAGTGCATATAACCTACCTAACGCGCTGCTCAATGGAGTGTTTCCATGTCTTTTCTTTAAACTTGCTTGATCCTTTACCAAATACATAGTTTATGCATTCAGGGTGCAGGGTCAGCAGGAAGCCTGTTTCAGGCAACAGAAGACGGGGGGGGGGGGGGGGGGGGGGAGAAGAAGGCACTTTTTTGGGGCGCAGAATGTTCAGCACAGATGTGAGAGACAGTGAAGGTTTATTTATTCTTTTACTTTCACCCAAACACGCCCATCTCTGGAGAACATAAAAGCAGGCACAGGGGACCGAGGCAAATCAGCACAGGAACCAAAGTGAGTGACACCACGTGCGTAGGAAATAATTCAGGTCATTTCCGCACACATTAAAAAGAAACTGCTAACTTCCAAACATTTTGGTACAAATTTTTAACAAATGTTTTACAGGCCTTTGTGAGAAGAATGTAAGTCACAAACATGGTGTTTACGTGAGCTCGAGCAGCTCACTTGGCCTTCTTAAAACCCATCCCAATCAATGCAATTCTTCAAGTGTAAGTCGCTTCCCAGACTTACGATTCAGAGCTTAGCCATCACCTTCAAACAGCTACCCAGCCTGCGGCAGCCCGCCTGTCAGCAGGTCTGACGTTAACACTTTAAAAAGCATGCACCCAAGGCAGCCCAGCTCCACTTCACCGGTCAGAGAAAGTGGCAATTTGGTCTGAGGACACTGTCAAAGGCCTCACAGACAGCCGCCACGCCCAGGCAGCGTTCGTGTCCACCTGCTGTACAGGTGAGGCCCACGGCCCGCTCTTCCCATCCTGGAGAGTCAGGCAGGACTCCCCGCCATCACTGTGGTCCCTCCCGATGGGCTGGGGGGCTCAGCAGCAGCCTCGGGCAAACCCACTAGCAGGAGCAGGACGGCCGCCTTAGGGACCAGCAGGCATCACGTTCAATGGCGACACAGGAACAGAGCAGGTCGCACGTCAGAAGTCCTTCACACAGACCCTGTGAGACCAGGTCCCTGACATGCAGGTCGTGGTCGAGGGGACAGCGGACTGCGCCCTGTCGCACTGGCTCGAGGCCCGGCGTCCTGACGGGACCTCACAGGCCCTTGCCGTACAGCGGTGCCCCGGCAGGGCTGGAGAAGGGGACGCTCCCACACACACTCCCTGGCGCCCCCATGTGAGCCACGAGCACCTGACTGGCCACACAGAGGACCGCCACGGGATGACAAGGCGTTTTGGGGGCCATTACTCTAAACCCAGAGTGAGGAGAAGGCACGGGCAGGTAAGCCAGCAGCGGGGAGCTCCAGCACAAGCTGGGGTGCGGGCCCCACAAAAAGTAAAGGGCTTAAGGCTTCAGGTGCGTATGGCACAGGTGCTGTCAGTTCTGAGAGCCCTGCTGGAGTCTGCAGAGCTGGGCAGTGCAAGTCCTACACCACGTGACCGCCTGGCTCGCACACTGCCACTACTCTGCACAGTGGGAGGCGTGCGATTAGGCTGCTCCACAAGCATCAGAAAGGCGTTACTTTGCAACTATAAAGTGAAACCAGCGCAGGAAGCAGTGCTCACGAGGGTGCGTCCCGCTCTGCCTCGGCCTTCCACCGGAGTCTCTCGCTGACTTGGAGGAAGGTGCGCAGAAAGAGCAATGCCATGGAGCTGCAAGGTTCTCAATATTTTATGACCCGAGTGTGGACCACTCAAGTTGTAAAAACTGGAAATAACACTGTCAGCGACACGTACTGCGAATGCTCTCTCGTGCAGCCACTGAGGGACACGGTGATGAGCCCTCGGGGCCGCTCGGAGCTGGCCTGGCTCCGGACAGCACCCAGGGCAGCGGCCAGCCCGAGTCCCCAGAGCCCGGCTCCAACATCAGAGCCCCCGAGTCTGCCGAACACCTGGACCCAGCTCCCGGGAGAGATTCTATTGTGCCCAACACTCCGTCAACAAGCTTTATTTACACTCGGACGTCACTCACGAACTGCCACGACCACGCAGCACCCAGATGGAGCCTACGCTTTGATACTGACCCACAGGCAGCCGAGGAGGGTGCCGTAGAGCCACGTCTTCACGTACAGCTTCCTCCCGGCCTCGGTGGCCAGCATGCCCGCGGTCAGGCCGCTCATGACCAGCAGCGACGGCAGCGTCTTCCTGAGGCTAAGTTTAGAACTGACACTTTCCCCAGGAAACCTGTTCCTTCTGTCCGGATCCGGCGAGTCATAGAATTCGATCAGCAACCTGTGGCCAGGCGGAGAGTTTTACGTTCAGTACCAGTCATTTCAATCTTTCAGTCCACAGTCCCTCTCAGGTCTAGGTATGGCTGGAGTCACAGGTGCTCGCAGAGATGAAGGGGCACCAGCGACGGGGCTTACCCGCAGCCCCTCAACTCTGAAAAGAGCCGGCGTGCTTGGCGAGCAGCGCGGATTCCGTGCCAGGGCCTCCCGCCACAGTGGGTGCTTCTGTTTTACAACCTGAGCCCTTTAGAGTGGCCAGGCCCTGGCTCAGGCCGGGGGCGATACGCCCTCAGTTTTCTCCATCTCCCCAACTTCCCTCCTCCTCCCCGCAAAAGCCACAGTCTCTCATTCCATGGTACTGTAAAAGCGGCTGACAGGGAAAACCGCATCTTTAATCCGTTCCCCATCTTATTTTAGAAATGCAAAGTGTTAATAGCAGGCCACAGTCAACATAAAAAATCCCGAACACGCCGAAACCGGTTTGGCTCAGTGGTAGAGCATCGGTCTGTGGACTGAAAGGTCCCAGGTTCGATTCCGGCCAAGGGCATGTACATTGGTTGCAGGCACATCCCCGGTAGGGGGTGTGCAAGAGGCAACTGGTCGATGTTTCTCTCTCATTGACGTTTCAAGCTCTCTTTCTCTCTCCCTTCCTCTCTGTAAAAAATCAATAAAATATATATTTTTTAAAAATCCCCAACACAATAGTACAAAAAGGGGAAGTCCACCCTGGCTGGTGTGGCTCAGTGGATAGAGCATAAACCTATGGACTGAAGGGTCCCAGGTTTGATTCCCAGTCAGGGCACATGCCCCAGCTACAGGCTCGATCCCCAACAGGGAGTGTGCATAAAGCAGTCGATCAATAATTCTCTCTCATCATTGATGGTTTTTTTTCTCTCTCACCCCAACCTCTCTGAAATCAATAATATATATATTGATTTCATGACATTCATGCACTTAGGGGGGAAGGAGAAAGAACAACTCTCAGCCCTGCCTGCAGCCTCTCGCAGTGGAGTGGGCCTAAGCCAGCAAGCGAACATCTCCCAAGGGGTCTTAGTGCTGCCACCCCAACCCCTGTGCTCACCAGCGGTGAGCCTAGCTTCTGGCTGAGGGACACTCCCCCTGTGGAAGCTCACTGACCACCAGGAGGCAGCTTCTGTGTTGAGTGTCTGCCCCTGATGGTCAGTGCAAATCACAGCAACCAGTCATTCTGCCATTGATTGATTTGCATATTAGCCTTTTATTTATAGGATATATATATATATATTTTTTTTCTCCTTCAAAAGCAGAGCTCTGTGGCTCCCCTTTAGAAACACGTGGCATCCCACACCAATGTCCTCTCCCGCGCCTGGCGGTCGGACCCGTTCTTGAGGAGGTGGCACTCCAGTCCGACCCATTTCTTTAAATAACCAATGGGAGGCGGCAGGACCTGGGCAACCTATAGGAAGTAGGTGACCAAATAGCACTCAGCCAATGAGGAGCCGAAGGAGGGACTACATACAGACCCGCCCCAGGTGCGATCCTGCACAATGGCTGCTCCTAGCTGGTTAGGTCTCCTTTCTCCATCTTGTTTCTGGGCCGTCCCCACCCCCATCCCCTGGAACTGGGAGGTGAGCGGGGCTCACAGGGAGGAAGGCCCGCTGAAGCTGAGCCTGCCGCTCACCTGTCCTTGACCTCGAATCGTTCGTGCAGCCACGTCCTCATGAGCGAGCGCTCCTCCGGGACGTCCTTCTTAGCTATGCGAGCAACGTGGATGTGGATTTTTGGACAATCTTTGCAGAGAAATTCTAACAAAAACAAAAATATTTCATTCTTTTACTCTAGAATTCATGGTTATGCGAAATAATGAAAATAAAGCAAAAAAAGTTTTAAAATAGAGTGCAGATTCCTTAACAAACGGGTAAAGGCCCTCAGTGGAGGCTGGGGTTCCAGCTGAAGGGGGGTCATAACTTCATCCACCGCGACCACGGCTCTAACCCCCCCAGCCAATGCCGGGACCTCCTGGGACCCTGGGACCTGGTGGGATGGCGGGCCCTGTGGGCCCTGTCGCCAGCCCAGGGGCGGGAAGGGGCTGGACCTGCTGCAGGTGCGCCGGCCCCTCTGAGGGGCCCCTGACTGGCACCATCACACCCACGGGTCACCTTCCTGAGGCCGTCCCTGCTTCCCAGCACATCATGTGCCCCCATGGTCACTGCTCCCCCCAGACTGGGAGCCCACACGGGGAGGGCGAGGAGAGGGGTGTGTGTGAGCACTGGGCCCATGGGCACTTCTTCCCGGATCCCTGGTCCCTGCCCCCACCCCAGCCTCCCTCTGTTACGGAGGCCCTGTTCCAGCCCCAGGACTTCTCTGGCTTCTGCTTGGCTGCCTGCTCTCCTGGCCCTGCCTGGCACCCAGCCCCTACACAACTCCAGCTCCTGGGAACATGCATAAGAAGTCCTCAAGAAGAGGCAATCCTCCCGAGAGACTTCAGGGACGACTAAGCTCCCTGGGGGGAAGCAAGTGGGAGGCTGAGACCTTTAATTTCCAGCTGATATGAGGTCCCATTGTTCTGATCAGTTCGCTCCCACCCCATAACCCACAGACCCCACTGCCCTGTAGCCTACAGCACACAGACCCCGTGGTCCACACCGCCCACAGACCCACAACCCCCAGCCCACAGCCCCCATGGCCCACACAGCCCACAGACCCCATGGCCCACACCGCCCACAGACCCACAACCCCCAGCCCACAGCCCCCATGGCCCACACAGCCCACAGACTCCGTGGCCCACACCGCCCACAGACCCACAACCCCCAGCCCACAGCCCCCATGGCCCACACAGCCCACAGACTCCGTGGCCCACACCGCCCACAGACCCACATCCCCAGCCCAGACTCATGGCCCACACCGCCCACAGCCCCCCAGACCCCGTAACCTCAGTACAGAGGTACAGCCTCTCCCCTCTTAGACCCACACCTCTTCCTTGCCACGTTAGTCATCTTATTTCTTATATAGACTTCAGGAACAAACTGGCTTTGATGGCAAACATGCAAAAGTACTACAACAGGGAAGACTGATCTTTCAGTATTTTGGTAATGCTCTTCCTCACTTGTGCCCATGTGGACACATGAGCCCAGCCCCATGTGCAGAGTGTGAGCTATCACAGCGTCTCCTCCTCACCTCACCCTCTGGCTTCCACTCTCGCTCACAAACAGGCAGACCAGCTGCCCCGTCCCCGAACCTCCCTGACGTCTGAGCGCTGGGGCGGCTGCGGGTGCACTGCCTGGTGGTACACTGTCTCCAGTAAGACTGGGCGGGGGGAGGGGGGCGGGAGGGGGGAGGCGCCGACAGGCACGCTGTCGTCACTCCACCTGCTCCTCACAAGCCAGCGTGGGCATGTCTGCACCCCGGAGGGAGGACATGCGGGGCCCAGAGGCCCGAGGCACCCGCCAGGCCTGTGGTTAGGCCCGTACGCAGGACCCAAGCAGCGGGTTGTGACAAGCAGTGGCACCGACAGCACCGCTGGCCTGTGACTGGGATGGCAGCTTACTCGATGGGGGAAAAGCAGGGTCTCCTGTCACCTGAACCTGCCTTTTTCTCACTGTGCATGTGGCTTCCACTTTCCCTGTGAACCCTCAGCCTGTGCCCACTCTTCCTGGGCACGGCACCCTCCTGCCAGCCTGCAGACCACACCACACATCAAGGCAGCTGGCCTTCCTCCTGAGCTGAGCCGCAGGCACGAGTCCCACCTGTGTCCGCCCTGCCTTCCAGTCTCAGGCTGGTCTAGTTCCCACAGAAAGCCACCTTAACCAACAGAAAGGATGGGTTGTTTTCTCCACGGCTGCAGTGTGAGTCAGAGAGCCACCTGCTCACACACAGGGACAGACTGTAACGAAGCAGCCATAGCCAGCTGCCCCGTAGGAGTAGCAGTGGTGGGAGGGGCGGCTGGGCATCAGGCTTCCTCCAGGCACTGTCACCTGCTGGAACAGAGCCAGCCTGTGCCTGGAGGAGCCGAGAGCAGCTCCAGGTAAGACTGGCCAGGAGACGGCTCACCAACACCCGGCCTCGCCTTCCGCTCACTACACCCAGCCTGGCCTTCCGTCACCGACACCCGGCCTGGCCTTCCACTCACTACACCCGGCCTGGCCTTCCGCTCACTACACCCGGCCTGGCCTTCCATCACCGACACCCGGCCTGGCCTTCCGCTCACTACACCTGGCCTTCTGCTCCAAGGGTGCGGACCGAGGCAGCACTGCATGGAGAAGGGAGAGCCCACCGCAGGCTGGACTATGGGTACTTGCACGGCAGGTGGAAGAGTTGGGTATTCATCCTACGGACACTGGCCCAGCCCCTGAGTTCTCACCCTCAGGGACACAGGCCCCCGAGGGGACCACTAAAAGCTGCATTTTACAAAGGTTATTGTGACTGTAGGGATTTTACTTGGTTTCCATAAAAATAAAAAGAGGTTTAATCCTATTTTAAACACTATCTAATAAACTAATGAAAACAATGTTGAACTTAATGCATGTATGTTTTCAAATGTAAAAACACGTCAACAGCTCCTTGAGTGGTTAAGAAGGCCTCTGGGGAGGGTGTGGGGACCAATGGACATGGGGTTGGTAGACAGCAAGCTGGTCCATTGTACACTCCGTACAGCTTTCATGTTAAACTGCGTGATGCATGATGTTCCCCAAGTCCCACTGAAAATGAAGACCCTCCGCCTCCTGGAGGCACAGGTAAGAGCCATCACTCTGACTTTGGGGTGACCGTCAGGTTTCCTGACCCACCACCTCTCCACACGCACACCCCGCCCCGGGCCTCCCTGCTCCTCTCTGTGCCGTTTGCACGTGCAGTGAGCGTGGGCTTTCTTCTCATTTACTAGCGATCCCAAGAGGCGCTATGACGAGCTCGTGGGTACCACACTGACGGTGGCCAACTCGAGGGGCCAGCCTACCCCAGCTCCGCTCCTGTCACAGCGCAGTGGACACTGAGAGGGGCCCAGGGCAGCACACTCCTCGCCTTCTCCATGCAAACCTCCTCAAAGCAGGAGGGTCTGTTGTTTAACTGAAGATCAGCTCACAGAGCGCTCTGTTTTCTCCTGTCACACCTGACAGTCACGGCTCAGCGTCCTGAAAACCTGGTGTGTTTGGGAAAAGGCCACACTATTTCATAAATACTGCATGCAAATGCATGCAGATGAGCGGGCCCCACCCCCTGTGGGGACTTTGGGTGGAAAGAGGCTGAGTTCATGACAATGGGCTTGTCTACAGGACTCCTGGCATTTACACATTACAGACGAACACGGAATCTGGAGAATACAGGACACAGACTGGCTAGAGACTCACCGAACATGGAAGGCGCCTCTTTCCGTTGCCCCTTGTCATCCACAGTCCCTTCAAAGGCCACGGTGACGTCGTAGATGGCATCCAAGTAGTTCTTCATGGAATCAAAGGCAATGTGTGTAGCCTTCACTCGCGGTGTGAGCACATGCTTCAACACGGGCAGGCCTGGAAAAGAGCAGGCTCAGAGTGGCGACTCGGGCTCACACCTCGCGCACACCTGCACCATGGAAGGTTGAGACAGACGAGGCCACGCCCTCACACACGCTGGACTTGAGGACTGGAACGTGCCGGCTCGTGACGATACTGAAATCACAGCCAGCACCTGTGTGAGCGAGACGCATGGCATGGGAGTTCAGGGCCCAAGGGGGCCTCCGCCTGGTGACCTCCTCACTGGGCAGCAGGCTCTCGAGGCTCCAAGCCCAGGATTCCCACCAGCACCTGACTGGCCGTTGTGGAAGGCACCAGCCTGGGACTCCAGTTTTTGGTGCACTTTTCTAGGAAATGGAGATCTAATGCACACAACACAGAACTTACCCTTAAAGCCACAGTTCAGTAGATTTCCGTATTCAAAAAGCTGTGCAACCATCAGCACCAGCAAACCCCAGGTCATTTCCTCACCAGACGCCTGAGCCCAGGCAGGCAGTGCCTCCCCCTTCCAGCGGCCACACTCCTGCTTCCGGCCTCGATAGCGCTGCCTGCTAGAGCATGTCACAGGTGGAATCACACGGTGTGGATGTCTGTGATTGTGGCCGTAACGCACTCACACTTGGGCCGCCTACTGTGGCCCGCTCCTCCACAGCTGAGTGGCATCACGTGGTGTGGACAGCACGTTCCCATCACCGCTGACGCTATAGGCTCTGTGGCTTTCACCCTTTGCTACACATGCATGTCAACCACCAGGTACACGCGAATGCTGCACATATACACATAGGTAAGGTTGTGTACGAACATAGGATTTCAATTCTCTTGGGTATGTTTCATCATTTTTTAAAAGTTTCTTTATAAAAACCTTCTTTACTGCCCTAGCTGGTTTGGCTCAGTGGATAGAGCGTCAGCCTGCATAAGGAAGGTTCCTGGGTTCGATTCTGGTCAAGGGCACAGGCCCAAGTTGTGGGCTAGATCCCCAGTAGGGGGCATGCAGGAGGCAGCCAATCAATGATTCTCTCTCATCATGGATATTTGTCTCTCTTCCTCTCTGAAATCAATAAACATATATTTTTTAAAAAAACCTTCTTTACCTGAGAAAACATTTTAATTTAATAATAACCACGTGCCATCAGTGCTCCCACGAGTGCTAAGAGCCCTGCTTCCTCCTCTTCCTAAGGCCGTGCTTTCGCTCTCCTGGGGGAGACTTTCTGGACAGTGTCACCAGGAGCAGCTCTCAGAGGAGGTGACAGGAAAGCAGACCTCTGCTCCCAACCCAGGGAGCCCATCAGGGAAGGCCGCCCAGCTTGGAGAGGAGGGGGAGGGGCCACCCATCCTGGAGGAGAGAAGGAAGGGGAAAAGGGAGGGGGAGGAGGAGGCCTGCCCAGCTCTGAGGAGAGCAGGAGGGGCCGCCCAGCACACAGAGGAGCGGAGGAGGAGCAGCTGCCCAGTGGGCCTTGGAAGGAATGCTAGAAATGCAGAGGCTGTGGGAACAGTGGAGGTTCCCACACCACGTGGCCCAGAGCAGAGCAGCTCACTCTCCTCACAAACTTAAAGCCCAAGTCTGATTAGCGGCCCGCCAGGGGGCATTCCTTTGTCTGCCCTTCCTTCCTTGCTGCTGGCTCCCCTCCTCACAGGTGGCTCTGTGTGCAGCTCAGAGCACGCTCCCCGACTGCACCGCCAGGTCCCACACAACCCCGTGTTGCTCAGCGGGAACAAGTGATCAGGAGTCCAACTTAATAGACAGCTAAAGACAAAGTAGTATTTCCAAAGAACGCATGGTAATAAAGGTTTGGAAAAAACAGCTTGGTGTAAATGGTTAAGAAATACCCACCACTGCCCGGCAGGGTGGCTCAGTGGTTGAGCATCGACCTATGAACCAGGAGGTCACGGTTTGATTCCTGGTCACAGCACATGCAGGCTAGATCCCCAGTAGGGGGCATGCAGGGGGCGGCTGATCCATGACTTTCTTTCATCATTGATGTTTCTCTCTCTCATTCTCCTTTCCTCTCTGAAATCAATAACAAATATTTAAAAAAAGAAAAATACCTACCACTAATATATATGCACATGACACTACCCCCCAACCTCCACCAAGGCACTATGATCAGCACTAAACACTCAGCACGCTTTCTGGCCCAAGCCGCCTCCTGCTCCAGCTCTACCTTCAGCTCCAAAGGCAGTGCCAGCGAGGGAGGAGGAGAGGAGGAGATGGGTGACAGCCAGCAGAAAAGCATCTCAGAAGGATCGGCCACCACACTCCCCACTGAGAAGTGGCCACTGGGCAGGGTCACCTGTTACCTGAACCAGCATCTCCAGTGAGTGAGGCTTGAGTGGGCTGGGGCGTGTCCATGTGTGCGGTGAGGACGGACCTTGTCCCTCCTGTGTTTATGAGTCCAGTCACTCTCCAGGGCATCGAGCAACAGGAGAAAACCAGTTGATTGGCTCAAACCTGAGAATTCTAGGTTTGTGCCACCCCCAACATAGCGGTGAGCCCTACGAACATCCTAGCACTAGGGTTCAGGAAGTGGGTGTGGTCACGCCAGCTGCTGTGGGAAACCCTACTTATTATTTTATTTTTATCTAATACTATTTTGCTATCTAGCACCTTATTTTTATGTATTTACTAGAGGCCCTGTGCACAAAATTTGTGTGGGGGGTAGGGAGGTGGTGGTGTCCCTCAGCCTAGCCTGCACCCTCTCCAATTTGGGACCCCTGGAGGGACATCCCTCTCACAATCCAAGACTGCTGGCTCCCAACTACTCGCCTGCCTGCCTTCCTGATTGCCCCTATCTGCTTCTGCCTGCCAGCCTGATCACCCCCTAACCACTCCCATGCCAGCCTGATTGATGTCTAACTGCTCCCCTGCCAGCCCGTTTCCCTCCAACTTACCTCCTCTGCCGCCTGGTCACCCCTAACTGCCCTCCCCTGCAGGGTTGATTGCCTTCAACTGCCCTCCCTTGCAGGCCTGGTCCCTCCCAACTGCTCTCCCTGCTGGCCATCTGTGGAGGCCATCTTATGTCCACATGGGGGCAGCCATATTGTGTGTTGGAGTGATGGTCAATCTGTATATTACTCTTTTATTAGATAGGATAGAGGCCTGGTGCATGGGTGGGGGCCAGCTGGTTTGCCCTAAAGGGTGTCCTGGATTAGGGTGGGGGTTCCCTTGGGGCATGGGGCAGCCTGAGCAAGGGGCCTGTGGTGGTTTGTAGGCCAGCCACGCCCCCCAGCGACCCAAGCAGAGACCCTGGTATCTGGGATATATTTACTTTATACAATTGAAATTTTGTAGCCTGGAGTGGAGCCAAGCCTCCTTTCTTGCTCTGTGGCAGCCATTTCTGCTGGGACTTTATTTCCTATAATTGAAAATTTGTAGTCTTGAGTGTAGGCCTGGGCCCCGTCTCATTAAGGGTGTGTGGAAAGCTCTGCTTCCTCCATTGCCAGGGAAACGCCTCCCTCCTGCTCTCTGTGGCTGTAGCCATCTTGGTTGGGTTTAATTTGCATACTCGCTCTGATTGGCTGGTGGGTGTGGTTTGTGGGGTGGGGTGATGGTTAATTTGCATATTACTCTTTTATTGGTAGGCTACAACTTCTTTATGTTCTGCTAGAGGCCCAGTGCACGAAATCCCTCAACCCCACCTGTACCCTCTCCAATCTGGGACCAACTGGGGGATGGCCAACTGTCGATTTAGGTCCGATGCCCTCCCCTGCGAGCCTGGTCACCCACGACTGCCCTCCCCTCCTGGCCTGATCACCCATAAGTGCTCTCCCCTGCCATAACCTGCCTCCTCTGCTGGGACTGGCCTCCTCCATACTACACAGAGCCTCAGGAACCCCAGGCCTCACCATGAGGAACGACCACGGGGCCCCGTCTTCACCGTGCATGTGGCCATCTTGTGGTGGCCATCTTGTGATGACATTGTGTGAGGGTGTCATGTGAAGCTTTTATTATATAGGATTATACAATACCTCACCTATGATGCTGAACCTATTCTTACCATTGTTTTCCTAATGACTAGTTCCATATTAGCTTTTCTGAAAATAAAATTCTACTTTTGCTAATCTACTAGTATAACAGGGAGCAGCCTTCCATACACATCTTGCTTGCCTGGCATAAATAGTCTCTTGAAGACGCTACCAATATTTCAATCTCTCAAAATCTCATTTTGTTCTGGAGAGACTGTAGTTAAACAAAATCTTGAACAATTTTTTGGGGGGAATTTAAATAGTCTTTTTTAAAAGAATGGCTAACATTTAGTTTCAAGTACTAAGAAGGGACTTTAGAGTTCATTAATATAACAATCTTTGAAGTAAACAATGTTAAGAATTCAAGACCCTATAACACAAATATGTTAAATAACAACCCTAATACTGAATCAACATATTTTGTGCCTGACCTTTTTTAAGCAATACTCCCAGGGATTAGCAATAACCAGGCCTTGATACATTGGGTTAAGACAGACATCAGCCACCCCCCTCCCCCACGCCACACACACCTGCTCAGCCAGCAACACCACTGTTGACAGGGAAGTAAGAGTGGTGCCTGGTATAATGACCTAGATGGGTAAACAAGTGTCAGTTTTTTAAAAATCTCAATTGTTTTTCTATTTGCTAAGTCAGGATCAAATGAAGGTATTTTAGGAACAAAAATGAAGGTATGTTTAGTAGCAAAGCATATCAATACTAACAAATTACTAATTTCAACTTTCTTGACGAAAAATTAACAGGTGGAGAAAAAGTCTTTTGTTTTTGTTTTCATGTAATCTCATTAGGAGCGGCAGGAAAACAGGAAACACTATTTCTAGACCTACTGCTCACAAGTCAATCTCCTTGTGAGTACGGCACGAATTACTTCCTAGTCACTAGAGAACAGACTTCCAACAGACCACAGCGGTGCTCCTGGTTTCAGAATTTAAAGGAGGAAAGTGAGCAGTCAAACATTACATCAGTAATAGAAGTTTTTCTTCCCTTTTGGTAGCTTTGAGGAAGATCTACAACTCAGAAAAATGGAAGCCAACAGCTGGTCAATTACAGGTGACTGGGTTCTTGGTAGACTAAGAAGCTAGGATGCATATGACTATTACACTATTACAAGTTACTAAAAGTACTTGTTTTAAAACAAAAATTGCTGTGGATTTAAAAAAAAAAAAGTAATTCTTAGTAGGCATATAAAGAGCCATCTCAGTTAATGAGATTAAATAATAAAGGTGAACTGGATTTGAAGTGACAGATTAAGAAATAGATATTACAGCCGAAACCGGTTTGGCTCAGTGGATAGAGCGTTGGCTTGTGGACTCTAGGGTCCCGGGTTCGATTCCGGTCAAAGGCATGTACCTTGGTTGCGGGCACATCCCCAGTGGGGGGTATGCAAGAGGCAGCTGATGGATGTTTCTCTCTCATCGATGTTTCTAACTCTCTAATCCTCTCGCTTCCTTGCTGTAAAAAACCAATAAAATATATTTAAAAAAAGAAAAGAAAAAAGAAATAGGTATTACATCTCATTACACACAGAGAAACAGCGTAGGCCTCCTAGGCTGAGGTGTGCCCCCCATTCCAGTTGGTTCTGGGCCCTGGCCCTGGGCCTGAGCTGGAAATGGGCCTCTGGGAGGCAATTAAGATTCCAGGAGGTCAGCACTGCAGGGCCTTCACCCAACAGGGCTGTGCGCTCCCAAAGAGAGGAGGCACAAAGGAGCCTGTGTGTTCTCCGGAAAGGCCACGTGAGGACACGGCGGACGGGCAGCCTCCCACGCCATGAGGATGGTTCTAACCAGAAACCGTGGCCACCGAGGCCGAGGGGGCCAATACCGGTCCTGGAACTTGGATTGAAATGATGACTCTGAGTAAATGTAACACAGTGAACAAATCTGTTTGCATGCAAACGTTTGTTTTACCCAAACAGGATACACACACACAATACATGCAGTTAACGCTGAACAACACTGTCAGGGTACCAACCCCCACCGTCCAAACTTCCGGTCGTGTCTGCCTCCAGAAGAGCCCAGCCTTCCCTTGGAATTGGGAAGGCTGGCTCCAGGGCACCCAAGGATGCCTAGTGCCTTAAGTGAACGAACAGCACGCGCAGACAGCCGCCCTCCACAGCTGCTGTCTGCAAACATGAAGCCACTGAGCCTCCCAGAAGCCCGTGACAGACAGATGCTGTTAACTCCTGTCTAAGGAGGAAGGAGACCGAGCAAAGGAACCAAGGCCTGTCTGGGTTCCAGAACTCAGACTCATTTGGGAATGCAGCCCCCGCTCATGGTCACGTCCATCTCAGACTGTATCCTGGCGTGAGGAAGGTGAAAGAGGGAGAGGGCCTAGCTATGCCAGCTGATGTAGCCAGCCCAGGTGGGGCACGCAAGTCACCTGCCACCTGCCCACCTGACACAGGGAACAGTCACTTGGGACCTTCCAGCCTGCCCACTGCCACTTCCAGCTCACCCTGAGGAGCAGACGGGCCAGCCTCCCTCTGGAGCCTGCCCTGAGGCTGACTTGGGTGCACTCAGCTGCTACTGTCTGCAGTCACTCCATTCTCGGGAGCATTCACATCAGATCACAATGAATTAACTAAAAATGAATAAAATTAAAAATTTATTTCCTCACTGCACCGGCTGTGTTCTGATGTTCCTCAGCACATGGGAGAACCACCACCTGGTCACGAGCTCCCTGCAGCCCACTCTCGGGATGGCAGCGCCTGAGCCTGCTCAGTGTCATCAGGAGGCGTTCGCTCAGGACGTTCCCACAGACAGCTCATCCACCAGAGAAAACAGCAGAGCTGCTGCTTTATGTTTACCCCGATTTGCTTATGTCGAATCGTTGCTGGTACACAAGTTACCCACTTTCTAAAACATAGATGCCAGGGACATTCTCATTATCGGGGACATAAAGCAGCTTCCAAGTCCGTGACCCAATGTATGTCAGGTTCTTCAACAGACACGCCCATACCTTCTAGTGTGTTCTTACAGACTGACCTGGGTCTGTCCCATGAGGTGTATATCTATATATATTTTTTTAAATAAATCTTTATTGTTCATATTATTACAAATATTCCTCATTTTTCCCCCTCCATTGCTCCCCTCCACCAGGTTCCCAACCCACCCTCTGCCTTTTCCCCACCCTCCATTGTTCTCATCCATAGGTGTACAGTTTATGTTCAGTCTCTTCCCGCATGCCCTCACTCCCCTTTTCCCCGAGAATCGTCAGTCCACTCCCCTTTCATACCTCTGATTCTATTATATTCAACAGTTAATATTGTTCATCAAATTTTTTTAATTCCCTTGGTTTTTAGATTCACTTGTTGATAGTTACGTATTTATTGTTCATAATTTTTGTCTTTATTTTCTTCCTCTTCCTAAAGAACCCCATTCAGCAATTCATATAATTCTGGTTTGACGGTGATGAACTCCTTTAGCTTTTTTTTATTTGTGAAGCTCTTTATCTGGCCTTAGATTCTGGGCGATAGCTTTGCTGGGTAAAGTATTTTTGGCTGTAGGTTCTTGTTATTCATCACCTTGAATAGTTCTTGCCATTCCCGTCTAGCCTGCATGGTTTCCGTTAAAAAATCAGCTGACAATCCTATGGGTGCTCCTTTATAGATAACTACCTGCTTTTCTCTTGCTGTTTTTAATATTCTCTCTTTGTCTTTTGCTTTTGGAATTTTAATTATGATGTGTCTTGGTGTGGTCCTTTTTGGATACCTTTTGTTTGGAGTTCTGTGCGCTTCCTGGAGTTGTAAGTCTAATTCTCTCACCAGGTGGGGGAAGTTTTCTGTCACACTGTTTCTTCCAGTATGTTTTCAGTATCTTGCTCTCTCTCTTCTTCTGGGACCCTCATAATTCTGATGTTGGTTCGCTTGAAGTTGTCCCAGAGGTTTCTTACATTATCTTCAACTTTCTGGATTCTGTCTTCTTGCTTCTGCGGAGCAGTGTCCTCTGGCTCTTTATGTTTCAAATCTTTGACTTGATTCTTGTGATCTTCTGTTTTTAGGACTCTGTATAATATTTTTCATTTCAGACAATGTATTCTTTATTTCTAGTTGATCCCTTTTTATTTTTAGTTGATCCCTTATCATATCCTCAGGGGTCTCATTTATTTTATCAGCCTTTTCTAGGAAATTCTTGAAAAACCTTATAAGTGTGGTTTTGAACTCTATATCCAGTCTCTTTTTGTCCTCTATTTCTTTCGTTTGTGTTCTGTTTCCTTGTTTCGGCATTTTCGCTGCTTTCCTGAGTTGGTAGGGTGGCTTTGTGTGTTAAGGTGTCCTATATGGTTCAGCGGGTCAGTCTCCCAGTTACCTGAGGTGGACACTCTTGGTGTCCCCTTTTGTGGACTGTGTGTACAGCCTTGTAGTTAAGTCTTGATTGTTGTTGGTATCACTGGGAGGAACTGACCTCCAGGCCAATTGGCTGTGAGGATCAGCTGTGTCTATGCCCAGAGACAGCTTTATTCGACTAGACTTGGAAAATTGCAAAAGCCTCTGTGTTCAGCTTGGATGGGGAGGAGTTTCAGGGTGGAGCCTACAGCCTTGGCTTTCGTCAGCCCTGCCCTATGAGGTTCCTGAGTCTCGGTGTTCCTTAGTGTCCTTCGGTACTCGCTGTAAGCACCTCTGAGAGAAAGGTGCCCTCGAGTTTTGCCTGCTACCAAACAGCCTAGGCTCTCCCCCAATGAGCCTGAAACTAGGGTTCAGTGCAGTTGGAAGTGGGATTGGTAGTGGTGTTCAGAGCAGTCTGAAGCTTTTGTCTCCTTCCCACTAGGGCAATCTAGCAGCAGAGTCAACAGTCCATCTTCTGCGCAAAATGTGCATGCCTCCGGGACTGCCTTTTGCCACTCCCCTGAGGTTCCGCCTTACAGCCCAGGCTCCCAGGGTCTGGCCCAGAACTGGGTTCAGTGCAGTCGGAACTGGGGCTCAGCACAGTTCAGACAGGGTTAGGGTTAGGGGTTAGGGGTTAGAGGTTAGGGGTTAGGGTTAGGGTTTTTATCTCCTTCCCTCCAGGGAACACCAGAGTTTTTATCTCCTTCCCTCCAGGGAACACCAGCCAGGCACTCAGCCTCTCCCTCCTCTCCGGCTCCATCCTCTCCCTGTGCGTACCATGTCTCCGTATCTTAGGCTTTTACAGCTCCTCTGATTTTCCTTCTGGTTTTCTCTTTCCTTCTTGTAGAATTTCCAGTCAGTCAACTTTCCTGTAGTTCTGGATAATGTCCATTTTGTATTTTAGTTGTATTTTTTTGAAATTGTTGTGTGAGGCTGCAGTTAGGTGTTTACCTATGCCGCCATCTTGTTTTTCCAATGTGTATATATATATTTTTAAATATATTTTATTGATTTTTTTACAGAGAGGAAGAGAGAGAGAGATAAAGAGCTAGAAACGTCGACCAGAGAGAAACATCGACCAGCTGCCTCTTGCACACCCCCTACCAGGGATGTGCCCGCAACCAATATACATGCCCTTGACTGGAATCGAACCTGGGACCTTTCAGACCGCAGACTGACGCTCTACCACTGAGCCAAACCGGCTTCGGCCCAATGTGTATATTTTTTAAGAGATGAGGAAAGAGACTCAGTAACACCAGGAGCCTGCAGCCAGATAAACAGGAAGTGCCACCATTTGGATCCCAATCCAGGAGTGGAAACACTTCCGTCACATCCAACAGAACCCAGACTGTGCATCGTGCCCCACACGGATGTCACCTATACCCCGGCACCCACACAGATGTTATCGACATGGCGCTTGGCCAGTCTCTGAACGCACCTCTCAGATGTGTGATGGCGGCATGTGTAACCCATTTCCTAAGGGTTACACACACATTCACTCAGGGAAAATACACTCACTCATTCATCTCAATTGCTGTAAAACATAAATATCTTCTCTAGGAACAAAGATGTAAAAGGCCATCTTCTTTAAAATGGTTTTTCAAAAGCAGCAAAGGCTCGCTTACCTTCCTGAGCAGCGAACATTTGACTGTCTGAAATGACCTTTGTTAACTCGGGGTTGTACCTCGTCCCCTCTGGAAAAATCACAAGGTACATCTGTGGGCAGAAAGGGCAAGGTTTGCTGTTAGCTTATCAAGGCCAACCCACAGAGGCTAAGAGAGCGTCTCCCACGGCCAGGAACACACATATGCACTTACACCTGACCTTTCTTCCAAGCAGAGAAACCAAAACACAAAATTCAAATCGTCTTATCTAGCACAGACCACATTCAAAACGCAGTCTGCGCTCACTGTAAGGCAGTCACCAAGAAGCTACCTTTTCTCATTACCTGTTCATAGTTGCTAAATGAAAACTCGGCCACAAAATGCTGACTCGTGCAAAGCCTCCATTAAGTAATCATATCCTATATAATAAAGAAGTAATATGCAAATTGACCATCACATCCTCATAAAATGGCTGCCTAAGACTAGGCCAGGAGGGGGGTTAGTGAGGGATGATCAAACGACTGAACAGCAGGCTGCATGGGGCGATCAGGTCAGCGGGGTGGGGGGGTCGGGGGGTGGAGATGGGGATGATTAGGACAGCAGGGGGGACTGTGAAGAGCGACTAGGCTGGTTGTGGGGGGCGGGGGGGGTGCAGTTTGGGGTGACCTGGTAGGCAGAGGGGGGCAGTTGGAGGCGAGCAGGTTGACAGGAGGGCAGTAAGGAGTGACCAGGCCAGTGGAGAGGGGGCAGTTAGGAGTGACCAGGTAGGCAGGCAGGTGAGCGATTAGGAGCCAGTGGTCCAGGATTGTGAGAGGGATGTCCAACTGCTGGATTGGGCCTGAACTGGCAGTCCAACATCCCCTGAGGGGTCCCGGATTGGAGAAGGTGCAGGCTGGGCTGAGGGAACTGTCCCCCCATGCGTGAATGTCATGCATCAGGCCTCTAGTAATTAATAAAAGAGTCCCCCTCCCAATTCTGCAAAATGACTTTTAAAAGGCATAAATTGTAGATATCTGTGTCCCTAAGGACATGTTATTTGAGGGAAATAATATATAAATACGTAAATTCCCATAATATAAAATGTGTAAGTGTTCACGTTTCAAAAAGTACACAGTGCTACTTGCGAGTTCCCTTGCTGCATGCTAGCTTGCGCCCCGTACATCGGGCCCTGGGGGGATGGCACTTCATCATGTGAGCTGAGTAACCCTTGGTCTGGGCGGTCACTTACCTGCTTGGGAAGTCAGAACAGACACCGTGAAACTACAGGGTGAACTCCTAGCCTCAGCCTACTACAGAAATGACACCAACATGTTTGGCAGCCAAAGGACAAAATAAGACAACCCTCCCCCTTTTCAAATGCACCCACACAGAAGGTAGCAATAGATGTCAGCCTCAATGCAAAACTACACTATGAAACTTCCAAAGAAAACTGGAAAAAGGCTTGTAATCTTGAGTTTGGCAAAGAATTCTAAAATAGGACACAAAAAGCATAAATCTTAAGAGAAAAATCAATGAATTAGAAAAACTAAAAACTTGTTCTTTTTTTAAAATACATTTATATTGATCAATTGATTTCAGAGAGGAATGGAGAAGGAGAGGGAGAGAGGGAGAAGAAGAGAGTGAATCATTGATCAGCTGCCTCCTGCACACCCCACACTGGGGATCGAGCCTGCAACCCGGGCATGTGCCCTAACCAGGAATCCAACGGTGACCTCCTGATTCATAGGTCAACACTCAAGCACTAAGCCACCTGGTCAGGCAAAACTGTTCTTCAAGCCACTGTCAGGAACATGAAAAAGCAGCCCACAGACATGACAGCAGTTAGGTATTTTATTGTCCCAAATTGAGATAAGCGGTGGCACCTCCACCCAAGGACAACCTACTCAGCAGTGAGAACAAAGACACTGATCCACACTTCACATGATTACATGGATGAATCTTGAAAAAGACATGCTAAACGGAAGAAGCCAGACATCCACCCTGCTAAACAGCCCAAGCTGTGTGACTCCCTTTACCTCCCTGCAGTGACAGGAAGCACAGCAACGACCAACTGCCAGGGAAGAATGGCACAGCCGCACTCGAGACTCGGAAGTGACCGACACCCCTGACTGCTCAGTCTCCTGGGCGAGTGCACACAGCACTCCCACCCAGTCCTACCTGCACCACCTGGGCGTGTGCACATAGCAGTCCCACACAGTCCTACCTGCACACCTGGGCGAGTGCACACAGCACTCCCACCCAGTCCTACCTGCACCACCTGGGCGTGTGCACATAGCAGTCCCACACAGTCCTACCTGCACACCTGGGCGTGTGCATACAGCACTCCCACCCAGTCCTACCTGCACACCTGGGCGTGTGCATACAGCACTCCCACCCAGTCCTACCTGCACCACCTGGGCGTGTGCATACAGCACTCCCACCCAGTCCTACCTGCACACCTGGGCATGTGCATACAGCACTCCCACCCAGTCCTACCTGCACCACCTGGGCGTGTGCATACAACACTCCCACCCAGTCCTACCTGCACCACCTGGGCGTGTGCATACAGCACTCCCACCCAGTCCTACCTGCACACCTGGGCTGTACATACAACACTCCCACCCAGTCCTACCTGCACCACCTGGGCATGTGCATACAGCACTCCCACCCAGTCCTACCTGCACCACCCGGGCACACCAGCTGCTGTGAACTCTTCCCCAGCATGCGCTGAGGGCGGACATGAAGAGGAGGGATGGGACCCAGAGGAGGAGAAGGAGCCTGACCAAGGAGGAGAAGTGCTGAGCCACAGGCCACCCACGCACTGTGTCCTGGGTTCTGGGGGAGCAGGGAGAGGCGCCAGCAGCGTCTTTCTAAGTGAACACTGAGATTATCTGGAGGAAGGGGAAGCGAGAGAGCCACATTTTGCGAAGTAATACTGACACTGAGTGCTTCTCTGTCTGTAGATACTGACATTATTTTTTACTTCTCATTAACTGGATCTACACAAGAAGTGCCACGGCCCTCACGCATAGAGCAGCAGCCTGACCCGCTGATGTGGAGGCCCAAGCAGAGGGGGCTGAAGTGTAAGGTGACAGGCAGCCGCCTGCTATTTATAGACTAGACACTGTGCCCTCCCTGCCTGCTCTCTCAGGTCACACTGAGCCCAGCACAGGCCATGGCCATCCGTCTGTAGGCACCTCCTCACGGCCCCAAGTGCCTGCACTATGGGGAGGGCTTCTGTGGCCTTCACAAGCCCTGCGTTACTCACGATACACGGACAACAGACGTGCAGACGATTCTTAACTGCGCCCCGAGCAGGGGTGGCAGGCACTTACCGGGGTCCCGGCGCTCACGTAGCTCAGCAGCTTCCGGCGCATCTCCGTCTCCTTGAAGCACGCGCTCCTCTTGACGTAGATGCCCCCGTGCTGCCAACAGGCCAGAGAGCGTTACTTCACAACACCCAGCGGCCGACACCAGGCAGGCGGGCAGTCAACTACTGTACAAGTTCCAATATTCCCACCTAAGAACATGAGCTGAGCCTTCTCCTATGCAGTAGCACAATTCAAATAAAACTGCATATTGCAAAGTACATTATCTTTGTTTTGTTGGCAGTTAAAATAAAAATGTTTTATTTTTAAAAAATGAATTTTTAAGATAAAAAACTCGATCACAAATGCATCTTAGTTCTCAATTTTTCCACTAATTGTGACATCACTGCAAAGTGTCCTTAAAATGTCCATGTTTGTGGTCTCTGGGGTGTTAGAAACCAGCCGGACTAAGACATGTACACAGCACTGCCGCATGTACACAGAACTGTGTCCCAAATTCTTGGTGAAGCCCTGCCCTGCGAGGTGCCAGTTTGGGATGGGCCTCCAGGGAGAGATGTAGGTCACGCGTCCCCAGGTGGTCCTCCGCAACAGGACAGGGCCTGCCAAGGAGTGGAGAGAGGACACGGGGGAGGTGTCAGCCGCAGGGAGAGGCCGGGAGGGAGGAGAAGCCTGCCAGCACGGCCCCGCTGCCCTCTCCCCGGGCCGTGAGGAAACAGGCTGCTGCTGTGTGCTGGCTGCAGGAGCCCGGCCCCCACAGAACCGTGTGGGAACCTTATTCAGCTCCGCATCAGGGCAGCGTTCGCCTCTCCTTTAGTGCTGCTTCCCTCTGTACTACGTCGGACTCGTCTGCAGTGAGCGAACTGGCTGGATTTGTGCTGTCCTGACCCAGAGTCTGAGTGACAGGAAATGACAAGAGAAGCAAGCAGGGGCAGCCTCGGGAGGAAGCAGGAGTCTTCCATCAGGTGGGGCTCCTTCCACGTATGCACAGGCCATCAGAGTGCAGAAGACACTCAAAGGGCCGCTGTTCATTCACCCAGACAGGACTGCCGAGAGCCCGTCCTGTTAGAGGTCAAAGCCACGGCCGGCACCCAGCACAAGGAGAAACTTCCCGAGCCTCCAACGATGTCCTGTCTGTTCTTCACAGTGTCCTCCCTGTCCCCGAACTTGCTTACTGAAGTCTATTTTAATTCAAAACATCCCAAGATACTGAAGGGAAGACTAGGCATCTTTCTCTAAGACGCTCACTGAGCAGGGGAAGGGGCGTGTGACACAGAAAGTGTAAGAGAACGTGGTGCTTTCAGAAAGAGCCCCAAGGAAAGGCAGGACAGAGAGAGGAAGCGGCAGCGGAGGGTGTCCTGGTGACGCCCATCCTGGGCCCTGGCACTGATGTGAGGCTGAGAACAGCCTGGGGGAGGGGAAGAGGGAGGAACACCCGCCTAGAAAGGCAGCTGCTAGGGAGGTCAGGGTGGGCCATGGGACAGGAGTGGGGCCTGCCTCCCCCAGAACACAGGGCTGGGCGGGAAGTGCCGGCATGTTTTGCTGGGGCTGTGGCAGCACCTGTCCTGGCAGATCCTAGCACAGCACGGCACAACCAAGCCTGGCATGGAGCACGACCATGCCAGGCAGGCCTCTCCAGGGAACAGAGCAGGCATGTCCCTCTGCAGCTGGCCAGGCAGACGCAGGCTACAGAGTGACTCTGGCCGAAGCCCCACCAGCTTAGGGACCTGGAACAGGCCCACTGTGTCAGGTTGGTCTGTGTTGGTAAAGGGCACGGACTGAGGCTTCTCATGTTACCACGGGATCTGCATGCTCTCAAAACAAGACACAAGACCCCCAGGTATTCTGGGCAAACATCCCCAGGTCACTACTACATGGTAGAACCCTACCAAGCCCCCAGCTAAGTTTAAGGCTGATCTTCAACTATTTCATAAAACTGTGATTTTGGTTTTTATTTTTTGAGACTACAGTCTGTCTTGGGTTGAGAAGGTCAAGGAAGAGAAGAGAAGAGAGAGGATCCTAGTAAAATGGAAATGAAGGAAACTGAGGTTGGGAACAGTGGGAGTCAGTTGTCTCTTTATTTTGAAAGATGCCTTGACTTCTGATTCCTTTAGAATTCCAAAACATTAGAGAATCTATTCGTAAGTATTCTTTGGTTCATGGGTTGCCAGTCAACCACTGACCCACACTGGCTGGGCCACAATCACTTTTATTATCGGTTTCTTAAGGTAATTGTCTATCAAATTCTATGCTGTTAAATGCCCCTATTTGTCTGATTTCTGTACATTTGCATTTTTGCTATTTAATAAAACTAAATAGTAATAGTAATAGTAATCAGACATGTATATAAATACACACCATTGAAAACCTGAAATAAAATTACTTCAATTTAGTAAAAGCTATTAAATTCATAAAAATGACCCCCCAACCTGTACATTTATATTAAGTGTATATTTAATTTTTAAGTCTACATTTTTCTTAATAAACCTTTATTGTTCCTATTATTACAAAAGTTCCTCATTTTTTTTTAAGTCTATATTTTTATAAGCTATATATATATATTTTTAAAAAGCATGGAAGCAGCATTACCTGAGAGAAGTAACAGCCGTACAAGGGGAGCCACTTGAGGCCGTCTTTCAGCACGTAGCGCACGTGCCCCAGGGCGCCCTGCCGGATGGCCAGGATGTCCGCCACGATCCAGTCCACTGTGGAGACAGGCCATGAGTGCGCCAGCCACGAGACAGAAGCCCCTCCCCCCACCCCCACCCCCCACCTCTCCCTCCACACACACAGCCGGAGCGCCCCATACCACATTCTCTAAGGGATTTGTATAGAAAATGTTAGATTTGAGCCAAAACCGGTTTGGCTCAGTGGTAGAGCGTCAGTTTGCGAACTGAAAGGTCCCAGGTTCGATTCCAGTCAAGGGCATGTACATTGGTTGCGGGCACATCCCCGGTAGGGGTGTGCAAGAGGCAGCTGGTCGATGTTTCTCTCTCATTGACATTTCTAGCTCTCTATCTCTCTCCCTTCCTCCTCTCAGTAAAATATCAATAAAATATATATTTTTAAAAAGAAAATGTTAGATTTGAATTCTATTACTTTAAATCAACAGGAGACATTTAAAAATATATAAAGTCTGTATTTTCTAATTTTTGTTGTTTAGGGTTTTTTTGTATTTTTGTTAATCGTCACCAGAGGATATTTTTCCATTGATTTTTAGAGAGTGGAAGGGAGGAGGAGAGACACATCTCCTGACCGGGGATGGAGATCAAGCCCACTGTGGTACATGCACTTGACCAGAATCAAACTCAGTACCCTTCAGTTTGTGGGCCAATGCTCTAACCACTGAGCCGAACGGCTAGGGTTAGTTTTTTGGTTTTGTTCTTTTAATATATTTTATTGATTTTTTTTACAGAGTGGAGAGTGACAGAGAGCTAGAAACATCGATAAGAGAGAAACATCGACCAGCTGCCTCCTGTACACCCCCAACCGGGGATATGCCCGCAACCAAGGTACATGCCCTTGACGGAATCAAACCTGGACCTTTCAGTCCTCAGGCTGATGCTCTATCCACTGAGCCAAACCGGTTTCAGTTAGCATTAGAGTTTTTGTTTTGTTTTGCATTTCTTGAAAGGCTTTTATTTCATGAACAAAATGCAAAGGTTACAAACCACCAAAGCAATCCAAAAGCAGGGATAAAGTAAGCTTCTCTAATTCTGAGTCTAGAAATCATGACAAAATGATAAGCAAAAACACGGTTCAGTGTAACTGCCTAGTACTGCTGGGAACTCTGTATATGTTAATACAGCCAACAAAGGCAGGGAAGCCACACCAGTGAGCTGCAGGCAAACACTGGGTTACAGGAGCATCCAAACCAAGGACCTTAGCAGCGGGCAACTGTGCCTGCAGCTGTGCAAAACCCAAGATACACCCAGGCTGCTGACAGCTCTCACTAACAGACGTGGTATCACTAAAGGGTGACAGCAAAAGTAAGAGGCATGAGTGAGTTTATACCAATAATAACTTGCAGGAAGAAAGAAACTGTTAGCTGATCTTTCACAGAAATCCTGAGCAAGGACTCGCCTGGAGCAGGGACGAGGGACAAGCAGTGGGCAGAAGTGGGAAATGGATTTGAGATGAAAGGAAATGACAGAAGAGGGCAAGTGTGAAGGTCAAGACCCCCAGGGCTGGACTTGAAAGTACTGGCTACAAAGCGCCCTGTCTCCTGAGACTGAAAACGATCAGCAAACCCGAGGGGACTGCTGGCGGGCACGAATGGGCTTGGAAAGAACTGGTGAGCTCTGCGAGAGGATTCAGGTCCCAGGAGAGTGCACGAAGAAGCAAACGAAGGGGAACGTTTTAAAAAACACAAAGTAAAAGGCTGTAGGAAATACAAGCGAGTCAGTTAAGGAGGAGTTACCAAGAAGTTCTAGCCAAAGGTCTTCCCCAGTTACAGGTGACCTGTCCACTGTGCAGGCCACAGGCCATGGCCCCTCCACAGAGCAGCCAGGTACCACTCAGCCAGCTGGGACACTGAAGGTGTCTTTTTGGAAAACAATTGTATTAATTATTATAAATCTCTCTCAGGAAGGGAGTGGGGGAGAGACAGAAACATCAACAATGAGAGAGAATCATTGATTGGCTGCCTCCTGCACGCCCTCTTTGGAGATCTAGCCCACAACCTGGGCATGAGCCCTGACTGGAATCCAACCAGGGACCCTACAGTTCACAGGCTGACGCTCTACCCACTGAGCCAAGCTGCTAGGGCTATAAATCTCTTTTTAATCTTTCTTTAACACTTACAAATACCTCTTCCACAGTGAAGTGAGTAAGAAGCCTTGGCATAGTCACACTTACAGGGAACTATAATCAGACTTACGTGATGATGATGGGGATGGGGATGATGATAATTGTGGTGGTGGTGGTGGTGGTGGTGGTGATGGCTGTAGCCGGTGTGGCTCAGATGGTCGGGTGTTGTCCCGCACACCAAAAGGTGGCTGGACTGATTCCCGGTGTAGGCACCAGTGTTTCTCTCTCTTCCTCACTCTAACTGACTATACCAAGGCTTTTCCCGCACTGACCCCGCTCTGTGTCCGTGGAACACCTCCACTGCACTCTCCAGCGTCACTCCCCACAGGCATATCCCGTCCCTTCCTCTCATCGCACCCAGGAGGCAGTCACTGACACATACTTTGATCCTGACCGTGTCTCGGGAACAAACACCACGCTTGTTCTCGCTGTGCCTGATGGGCAGCACGGAGTGAGCCGTGAGGACTGTGAGGGTGTAGCCTGGAGCACATTAGGGTGCAGGCCGAAGACAGACTTGGCATCTCTTCCTACAACAACTAATCCCAAAGTCTGGGGAAGTCGTCAAGCGACTTTCAATACTGAAACCTGCGTGGTTATACTATGGTCCAGGATGCATCTTCCAAACACTTTTGAGAGAAAGTGTACAATTTTACCAAATTTTTTTTTAAATATATTTTATTGATTTTGTACAGAGAGGAAAGGAGAGAGATAGAGAGTTAGAAACATCGATGAGAGAGAGTCATCGATCAGCTGCCTCTTGCATACCCCCTACTGGGGATATGCCCACAACCAAGGTACATGCCCTTGACCGGAATCGAACCCGGGACTCTTCAGTCCCCAAGCCGACGCTCTATCCATTGAACCAAACCGGTCTCGGCAAAAAGTGTACGATTTTAAACTTAGGTAATGTTTGCAAATAACTGTTCTGGGTTATGCGCTTCATCTTTTGAAAATTGTAGTGGAGAAATTTAAGAACTAACTTAAGTAGTCACAAGACACCAGCTTCATGCCATCCATTTTTTATTTTTTTACTCATCAGGGGTATGTTTTCATTGGTTTTTAGAGAGAGAGAGAGAGAAAGGGAGAGCGAAACACAGATTTGGGAGAGGAACATCGATTGGTTGCCTCAGTACTCACTCCAAGCCAGAATCAAACCTGCACCTGGGGTGTGTGCACTGACCGGGAATCGAACCCACGACTCCTTGGTGCACAGGATGTTCCAATTAACTGAGCCACATCGACCAGGGCTGTGCCATCAATTCTGCTCCTCAAATTCCTCTTTCACTATGTTTGTTATTCTCCAAGAGGGCCAGGCAGGAGGCACTAGACATCGAGTTATGAGGTAACACATTGCCTCTACAGTCATGCACTTGGAGCTCTGACATCATGTAATTGAGGTGTCAGAAATGTAGCCACACGCAAATTCTTCCATGTGAGCAAGTCAAAGCTGCACCACTGTTTCCTGAACCCAAGCCAGTGAGGAGAGGCCGCAGGGAAAGCAAGGGCTCCTGGCTGTAGCCGGTGTGGCTCAGATGGTCGGGTGTTGTCCTGCACACCAAAAGGTGGCTGGACTGATTCCCGGTCTGGGCACCAGTGTTTCTCTCTCTTCCTCACTCTAAAAATCAACAAAAAATATATATGTCTGTTAAAAAAGCAGGGCTTCCTCATGTACATTCTGATGTAGCAACAGTTCCTAATTCACATGGGCGCTGCAGAGTCCAGGATGCACTAACCTGACTCAGACCCAACACTGCGCTCATGGTCAGCACCAGCACCACCACCACCACCACCACCACCACCACCACAATTATCATCATCCCCATCCCCATCATCATCATCGGCAGAAGCGTCACCATCACCATCACCATAACCACCATCATCATTGCCATCATCACAATTATCATCACCATCCCCATCATCACCATCAGCAGCAGCATCACCATCACCATCATCACCATTGACATCATCACCATTATCATCACCACCATCACCCTTGCTATCATCACTATCAGCATCAGCATCCGCATCACCACTAGCTCAATCTGAGGGAATCTGAGCATCATGTCTGCCCTAGACCCTACAATTTGTTCTATTTGGTTCAAGGAGCTCTGGTAGAAATAGGCATCAGCATCAGGCCAGGAAGAGAGACTGTTAATAGTAAAAGCCCACTTTTGTTGGGAGAAATAGTCAAAATAAGGACAGCAAGGTGACTTTCTAGGCCAGAGTTAGAAGCAGACCACAGTACTGGGCGCTTAAATCAAATGTAATGAAATCAAATAATTCAGCCAGTCATGTTGATAACATTCACAAAATAAGCAGAGGCTTTAAAACTCCTGTTGCCAGGCGGGCATGGCTCTGTGGCTGAGCATCAACCTATGAACCAGGAGGTCATGGTTCAATTCCCAGTCAGAGCACATGCCCAGGTTGTGGGCTCCATCCCGTGGGAGGGGTGCAGGAGGCAGCCAATCCATGACTCTCTCTCCTCATTGATGCGTCTATCTCTCTCTCCCTCTCTCTTCCTCTCTGATATCAATAAAAACATGTATTAAAAAAAAAACAAAAAACCACAAAATCTCCTGTTAACACTTGGTAGTGTCAACTCATCCTATAAATCAGAGTGTAATCATTAATAAGCTAAGTTGAGGCTAATACATTTCAATTTCTTTCACTCTCTTTGCCATGTCTATGGCAGAAGTGGGAATGAAAGCACAAAGTCATGGAGACGCAGTGGGCAGGGGGAGGTGAGGGCAGACGAGTACACAGGCCTTCCTGATGAGGCATCGTCAGTGTCAGCTTGCTTTTCACCCTCAGCTCCCGAGCACTGCACTTTTAGAGGAAGATGAAATTTAGGAAGTGTACCTCAAAAGCAGTCACAGGTTTGAAGAAGACGTGAAGAGGGCTGTTTTTGAACGGAGCGATTTGGAGGACTAAGGGCTGTAGCCGTGTGCATGTGTTGCTTTTGGTGCTGCACACAGTTTCTAAGAAGTCATCCCTGGGGCCACTTGGGGAGGAGGTCATGCAATCTCAGCACTATTTTCTGTAATTCTTGATAATCCACAACTATGGCAGAATTAAAACTTAAGAGTGCCTAACTGAAAGTCTGCGCTGCGCTTCACTGAGACCCTGTCCTCGGAGGCCTGTGTCGGAGGAACAAGCTGTGGGTAAACATGCACTCGAGAGGCAGAAGGAACGGCGCACCGCAGACATGTACGTCGCACGGCAGACATGTACGTCGGCCCTTTCTGCAGCTCAACCATCAAAATATAAGCGCACACTCACCGCAACCCACCAGCCCTTCCAGACACATTACCTACAGAGGAAGAAGGCACAGACACGCAGAGTGCTGTTCAAAGATGTGGGAGAGGAAACAGCTTATTTACACGCATCGAAGGGAAGAGGCAAAGACGGGGGGAAGTCACAAATACAGGGTCACATAATGTCTGCATTACAAACTCATGTTTTAACAATAACAAAAAAAATTAATTTAAAAATCAACAACATTGCTCTGAATGCCCACGTATTTTCTGTAGAAAAACTTAGGATTCACACAAATGAAATACAAACCTGTGCATTGATGATTTGCTAAATATATTATATTTTCTTTGTGTTTTGGCAAATCTCCATATAGCAATATCTACAAGATAAAACAAAAAAACACACACATTACTTTGATATTTTAAAGCATGTACTTATGTAACATACAAAATAGGACAATCATTTCCAATCACGATGCACACAAACCAGATTTCTCCTCCGAGTCTCAGAGGGCATAAATGGCCTGTGTTTCAAGAGTAGGCCAGGTTAATGGTCATAAAGTGAAAGAAACACAATGGTTTCTTCTGAGCAAAACACAGCAAGCATGTACCGGCTGGACATGCACTGGCACAGCTCACAAGGACCTTCCTTAGAGAAGGCAGGTGCATGCAGTGCGTGGAAGGAGACATGCACGCGCTGTGGAAGCGCAGTGTGCACTGGTTTAAGGGCGGAGCACACAGAACAGCAGTACCCGGGACGTGCGATTTTCAGATGAGATGAAGGTACACATTCAGGAGAAGATGAGGCCTTCGACACCTCTGCATGTCAGACCTTTTGGTTCCCACCTCTTTCCTGGGAGGCCCAGGCACGTCCCAATGTTCACAGCAGTGAAACGCGCAGGGCTGCCCTGACGCTCACCTCGCCCCTGTCCTTGCTGTGGGCAGGCCCCGTGTAAGCCTGGGGGTGGAGAAAAGGTCTCCTTCCTGCACTGCACCAGTCACAGGCACAGCTCCCAAGACTCCTCTGAAACTTGTTTCCTTTTCCACAGGCACCTGCCTCGGGGTGGGCAGGTGAGGAGGAAGTAGCATGAGGCAAACTGTGGGGTGGCCATCTGGGCATCTGTCCCTCGTACCCTGGCTGGCAGGAGCATGGAAAGAGCCTGCTCTGCAGCTGGGAGCTGCCTGGTGCAGGAGGTCAGGAGGTCAGCACTGTCAGGCATGCTGGGCACCCTGAGCAGCACCGCCTGCACCAGGGTCAGGGGGAAGCGTCTGCCAGAACGGGACAAGGGTGGGGGGGGGGGGAACTGCTGTGCCTGGCTGTGTGAGACAACCACTTTTATTGAACACAAAATGCTCACTCAAAACTGCTCGAGAAACAACTCAGAATGCAGAGCACAGATGAGAACCACCCACTGGCCCGCAGACTGCCTGATGCTCTCGCTCAGGGGAATCACTTTTCATTCCAGAAGGGAGCCGCAGCTTCAGAGGCTGCCACACCGGAAGGTCAAGTCACAGGGCCTGGCCTCCACGTGGTCAGTGCCGGTGCAGCCGGCTGGTGGGCCTGGAGGCTTGTCTGCCAGCGGCTCCCCCTGAAACTCGGCCATCCCTCACTAGGAGCTTGAGCAAGGGCCCACCCTCCACACCACTCCTGCCCGGGAACGCACACACTGCCAGGGCACTCACAAGCGTGGTGGGACAGATGAACCTCGCTGCCTGAAAGAGGCCTGGAACATGGAAACCATCCAGACAATGCGACGGCTCTTTTTAAATTCAAAACTGGGGTAAGTGATTAATGAATAAGAACCATAGCTCTCTAGTATACTTTCCTGGAAAAGGTCTCTGATGCAGCCACAAAGAATTTCAGTTTGAATAAGATTGCATATATAATGTATACTCCATGCTTATTTATAACTAGAGGCCCAGTGCATGAAATTTGTGCACGGGGGAGGGGGGGGATGTGTCCCTCAGCTCAGCCTGCACTCTCTTCAATCTGGGACCCCACAAGGTATGTCCGACTGCCCGTTTATGCCAAATCCCGGGATCAGGCATAAACGGGCAGTCGGACATTCCTCTTACAACGCAGGACTGCTGGCTCCCAACCGCTCGCCTGCCTGCCTGATTGCCCCTAACTGCTTCTCCCTGATGGATGCCTAACTTCTCCCCTGCCGGCCCGATTGCCTCTAACTGCCCTCCCCTGCCAGCCTGGTCGCCCCTAAGTGTCCTCCCCTGCAGGCCTGGTCCTCCCCACAAATGTCCTCCCTACAGGCTTGGTCCCTCCCAACTGCCCTCCCCTGCAGGCCTGCTCCCTCCCAACTGCTGTCTCCTGCTGGTGGTATCACCCACAACTGCCTTCCCCTGCCGGTCATCTTGTGTTCATATGGGGGTAGCCATCTTTGACCACATGGGGGCGGCCATCATGTGTGGTGGAGTGATGGTCAATTTGCATATTACTCTTTTATTAGATAGGATCATTTGAAAATTTTTAATGTGCTTTATACCAATGAAATAGGTCACTAGTTACCCAGTAAAAGTCTCCTATTGTAATGCACCCAAAATCTGCAATCTTTTTCTGCCCAGTTTGAAACATCCCACTGATGAGGAAAGTGATGATCCCTTTACCACTAGATGCAAACATGGCTACTGGTCCAATACCCATGTGCAAAAGCAATCACCACACAGCCCCTAGGCGACCTCCTAGCTCAGAGGTCTGACCAAGCGCCACCTCTGTCCTGGGTATTGCTTTCTTTATGGCCTTTTTCTGGGCATCCACATGGGCCATCAGGGAGCTGGCAGGCGTCCCACAGCCTTTCAGCTTGTCCCAGACCATGAGACATGAGAACTCGGCTCAGGGAGTGGGGGCCAGGAGCTGAGAAGCTGACCTACCTGCTCAAGCTGACATGCAGTGGGGCAAAGAACTGGGGACCACACAAATTTCTCACCCAGGGATCCCAAACTCCATCAAATGTTACAAACTATCCTCTGCAAAAACTCCAGATAAAAATGTCAATGAGCAGGTTTCACATGTATTAGAAGCTTACATGATTTTTTTTATTTGGACTACTCACCAAGAGATAAGAACTGGTGAGATAAAAATTAAAAACTTACATAAAAACAGCTTGTACAGAAATACAGAGGAAAACAGGAGCAGAGGGGGCCTGAGAGCACATGAGCCGGCACCCCAGGTACCAGCTGCCTGATGGTGGGCCTGCCGCCCCAGCAACCCCTCCCAGGTAAGCACGCCATCGGCTGCCCTCCTGAACTGCTGTGCTTGGCGTCCCTCTCTTTACTTGTTGGTACTTATCTCACCAGACACTTTTGCTCTTAAACTCACTTCCTTCCATCTGTGTTGCTGAAGTGTGTGGTTTGAGGGCGAGACTATTTTGTCAAGCAGAAACGCTCGTGCCTAGCCTGTGTGAGCACTCAGCACGCTCTCTTTCCCAGTATCACCCGTCATTTCTTTATGCGCCTGGATCCCACCCGGAGGAGAGGCAAGCTGCCTTCCAAATAGCACTCGCACACACCCACAGCCCGAAACTCCTAGCCACGCTCGCTTCCTTGGTGTTCACGGCGAGTTCCCACGGAGATGGAGGAAACAAGCCGAGAGACTGCGTGGGTTCAAATCACAGCAAGTGCAGCATCCTGGCACGCAAACAAGGGTTCTCTGTCCCAGAACCTCCCTTCACGAGGCCGCTGACCTGATTCTGAGGGCGGAGTCTGTCTCCACACCTGACCTAGTAAAGGATGCGCTCAGACTCACCGCACCTGTAGAACCGCTAGACCAAGGCCAGTCAGACCCCATCCTGCCAGGGCAGGCACTGCCTCTCCACCAGCAAGGCCAGAATCCCGCAGGCTGTGCGGCCTTGGCTACAAAGAACATCAAATTAAGTGGTTCTCCATTCACCGCCACGAGCTTACCATCTTGGAGAAGGCAAACGGGTAGTAAGATGTGTGAGTGCCAACAGTACACATGCTAACGTTACGTGTAAGTGACCCTGACACTGAGATGGGGTGAGACCAGGACAGATACGGAAAGACCGGTGTCGAGTTGAAGTAGAGAGAGACAGCAGCCCAAGCCGCCTGTTGCAGCATGGAACCAACGCGGACCTGAGGAGGCTGTGTGCTCACGCAGGTGCCAGTCTCTCCCGGGCACACCTGCACGTCCTCCCGTGGAAGGGAGTCCATGTGGCTCTTCACCACAGCCGCACGGCTCGAATGGCCCACACAGGGTCTCCATCTGTCACAGAGCGAACAAGCACACCCTCCATCCAATTTCCTATTTCACTGTCCACCTCCCTCCACGTGTAAGTGCAACCCATGTAACCACACCACCTCGCAGAATCCTCAGAAAACTGGGCCTGAAGCTGGACTGCCTCGGACCGTATCCTGGCTTGACCACTAAATCGTGAACTGCTTGTGCCTCGATTCTCACATTTGTGACATGTGAAGAACGGTGCTGCCTTGCAGAGTGACGTGACCTTCGTAATAGCAGTGCACAGCATGGTCGCACTCGGAAGCTGACTCCACTCGCCATCCTCTCCTTCTCCCTCCCTGTCCAATCACAGCACCTGCTGCTGCCTCTCACAGGCCGGGATGCCCCACCCTCTCCGCGCATCTGCCCTCCCTATCTCGGAGCCCAGGACAACCACACACCTTCCCAACCAGTTCCTTCTCTGGCTCCAGGCCAAAAGCACTGGCTTCTGGAAGCTCCCAGGCCCCACCTCCCCTTGTGGGCTCACAGAGCACAGAACACAGCCCTTTTCCTGCCACGTCCCGGCCCCCTACACTGAGCTCCGTAAGGGCAAGGCCTTCCACGCTAGTCGCCCCTGCATCAGGTGCCCATCCAGTATTGAAGGAATGAATGAAAGGAGAATGGGCTCTAGGGGCCGTTAGTGAGAAGTTACTACTTATTAATAGTTTTGAATGTCTATTAATATCAACCTCTGCTTAAGAAACCATAGTAATGGGGACTCTTTCCCCTTCCCCATGCGGGAGTCTGTCCTTGTTCGTCAATAAATCTCCACCCTTGCTATAAAAAAAAAAAGAAAGAAAGAAACCATAGTAATAATTACGAAATATTAAAGGTAAAATTAACTTCTAATTCCATGTAAGAAGAGTCACCTCGCCCAGCTCCAATGGCTCGGTGGTGGAGTGTGGACCTGTGAACCAGAAGGTCACGGTTGGATTCCCATCAGGGCACAGGCCCGGGTTGCAGACGCCATCCACAGTGTGGGGCATGCAAGAGGCAGCTGATCAATGATTCTCTCTCATCGTTGATGTTTCTCTCTCTCTCTCCCCCTCTCCCTTCCTCTCTGAAATCAATAAAGACATATTTTTTAAAGAAAACTCAACTCTCAGTGTATTCAGCTCCACAAAAGTGCACAAATTTACGTGAGAAGCAGAATATGTACACAGAATCCCTACCACTATTTTATACTCAAAGTATATCAGTAGAAAAACCAATTTATTTACATTAAATTTGAAATTTTACTGTTATAATGTATTGTGTTAGCATTTGGGGAAGAGAGAATTAGCAAACAGAGCCATTAGAATAAAACACATATTAAAGTAAAATCAAAGGATTCCAGCAGGGGATTTGGGGAGATCATTCTGGATTATCGGAGGGGGAATGGGGCGGGGGGGGGGGGGGGGGGGCGGCTAGGCCTCATGACAAGTGTCCTTACAAAGAGGCAGAGGAGAGCGGAGGCAGAGAGAGGAGGCGGCCACATGACCACGAGGCAGAGACGGGAGGGTGTGGCCGCCAGCCAGGGATGCCAGCAGCACCAGGTGCTGGAAGAGACAGGACATTCTCTGGAGCCTCCGGGAGTGAGGCCCACACACCTCAATTTTGACAGCTGGCCTCCAGAACTGCGAGAAGTTTCTACTGTTTTAAGCCACTACATTGGAGGTGCTTTCTCATGGCAATCACAGGAACTCAACACAATTACCCACTTAAGTCAGTGCTCCCTCAAATAGTAAAAAGGTGTATTCTAATTGCCAGTGGATCTCAAATCAAGAGATACAGCCCTACCTGGCTTGGCTCAGTGGATAAAGCGTTAGCCTGTGGACTGAGGGGTCCCAGATTCAATTCAGGCCAAGGGCACATGCCTGGGTTGTGGGTTCAATCCCCAGCAGGGGGCATGCAAGAGGCAGCCGATCAATGATTCTCTCTCATCATTGATGTCTGTCTCTCCTTCTCCCTTCCTCTCTGAAATTAATAAAAAGAAATATTTTTTTAAAAAAAGATACATAAAACTTTTAAAATCCCAAAGCAATAAATGATAAAGAAGGTACCCAGTTGAGTTCAGTTTTAACAAGTTCCTAGAAGAACCTAAAAAGATAAATCAGAAACAGCAATTTTAGCAATTGTGATTGGAATGTTTTCCTGCGTCAAAGATGTGTGCATGTCAAAATACAATAGTGAAATTAGGAAGGAACAGAACGTCCATCTAAAGTCCTGTGAAACTACCAAGTTCCACTGGGAGAAGGTTTACCTGCCAAGCACACATCACAAATTCCATGGACCCACTTGTTTTTAGCTTTAAGAATTCCCCACGCTGCCTGGCCGGAGTGGCTCAGTGGTCGAGTGTCAACCATGAACCAAAGGTCACCCGTTTATTCCCCAGTCAGGGCACATGCCCGATTGCACACCCAGTATGGGGTGTGCAGGAGGCAGCAGATAGATGTTTCTATCTTTCTATCCTTCTCATTTCCTTTCTCTAAAATAATCAATGAAAACATATTTTAAAAAACAACCAAACTGCAAATTCCATGCATAAAAAAATACTGTCACAACTATTACAAAGCATTTATTTTTTTATACTCAAAATTTAAAAGCATTAAAATGCTATTTTTAAAGAATCTAATTTGAAAATACTTTTATAATGTATATAATTTAATGGTGAACTTCCTTTCATTCAAAAACTTAAAAGATAGTTAACATCATTTTATATAGAACATACAAGAAGATCATCACTGGCCTTGCAATGAAAGCTGATGAACAATTCAAGCAAAAGAAAAAAAAAATCCCTTAGCAAAACAAGCTAAAATTTAAAAAAAAGATTTTTAGAGACAAAGGAAGAGAGAAAACATCAATGTGAGGGGGAAACACTGCTCAGCTGCCTCGTGCACACGCCCCACTGGGTGATGAGCCTGCAAATCTGGGCATGTGCCCTGACCAGGAATTGAACAGGCAACCTTTCAGTGCATGGGACAATCTCCAGCCAACTGAGCCACACGGACCACAGCGCAAGCTAAAATTTTAATAGAAACTTTGCAATGACAAAGTCACTGAGGAAAACTATTAGGTAAAAAATAAGACGACAGAATGTCCATTCTCATCTATCCTTTTCCTTTGGGTTTATATTTTTAAAAAGCTATTTTGAATCCCTCTATTGATTTAAAAGAAAACCATTAGAAATGTTGGAAGTTAGCCTTTTTTATCCAGGAACCCCAGATTCCAGGAAAAAAGACCCATCTCCCCCAAACATATCATGCTCTCTGTTACTAAACCAGTGTTTTTCAACCTTTTTTGGGCAAAGGCACACTTGTTTCATGAAAAAAATCACGAGGCACACCACCATTAGAAAATGTTAAAAAATTTAACTCTGTGCCTATATTGACTATATATAAAGTAATTCTCTTGAATAGGAATCAAATAAACACAAAGAAAGTATTTTATAATTACTTTATTATGAAATATTAAGTAAACAAAATAGTGAAAAATTATAAAATTCTTTTCTTGTCTGCACCTACGGCACACCAGGCAACATCTTTGCCGCGAAACAGCAGTTGAAAAACGCTGTACTAAACCAACAAACAATTCCTTGCCAAAAAATAATGCACAGACAAGAAAACTCTCAGGCCTATATTTTCATTTAATGTCCATCACCTGCATCTCATGGCCAGTGGGCAGTGAGTTCTAGGATTCCTACAAAACTTCATCAAGGGACCCAGGTTTATAAAAGGATGTCTGGCCAAAACCGGTTTGGCTCAGTAGTAGAGCGTCGGTCTGCGGACTGAAGGGTCCGCAGCTGGTCGATGTTTCCCTCTCATCCACGTTTCAAGCTCTCTATCTCTCTCCCTTCCTCTCTGTAAAAAATCAATAAAATATATTTTTTAAAAAATAAAAGGATGGCCGTGAAGTATAATTCAAATGTAAATTTTCAAAGAAACCATGTGCTAAGAACTCCAAAATAAATTGGAGGTCTTTACTAAACAGGGCATGTGGTAAAATATTTTAGAATCACTGTGAAATTTTACCATTGCTTTTTATTTTTTTTCAAGGCCACCAAAAGTTTTGGTTGCCCCCCCCCCAAAAAAATGGGAGATTTCAATTGCTTTTTAAAAATAAGAAACTTGCTAAACAAAAAGTACTTCAGTGTATATTGTACATTATATTGCATAGAACATATTTCATTCTTTGAACAAAAATAAAATAACCAGGTACAGGCAGAATTATTTTTCTAAAAGGTACTTGACTTTGTCATATGCTCTGAGTCCAGGCCAGCTGTCACCTGATGTGAAATTAAATTCTTAAAAACCACACATTCAGGTAAATGTGAAGCGCATAGGGGCGCTTCAGTGAACCTTTTACGAGGCCCGCTTTAAAAGTCAACTAGTTTTCTGGAAGAGTGATCTTTCTCTCCTAGCAAATCAAGATGCTGGTTTAAATGGAGACCCTGACTTCTCCTAATGCCTTTCCCCCCCCAAAAAAACACCACCTACAATTGGGGCAAACTCAAGTCCTCAGGGAATCAACAACCCTTCAGTCTCAACAGTAGCTGGGTGACTGACACTGAGGCTCTCAATGGCAAAAAGACAAAACCATCCCTTCCCTTCCCCTTCCCTCTCCTTTCCTCTCCTGCATGCCAAACCAAGAAAAGGGGGGGAAAGGGGAGTAACTGAATGTAAGAAATAACCAAGAATCAAACTCTTTTTGCAAATTGATAGATAAAATAAAAACTCACAATTGTTACCTTTGTATGAGACTTCAAAGAACTAAATAAAGAGGCCCTTCTACTTTTGTTTGTTGTACAAATGTATCTACTAGCCCCATCTCTACGGAGAAAGAAACAAACGGAAAGAAAGTAATCAGAAAAGAGAGCAGCCCCGCACTGAAGCGGGACTGCGTGGGCAGCTCCAGGCGGGGAGGCGAGCTGCAGGGACCGTGTCCTGTCCCCGCCCTCGGCACAGAGTGGCGCTTCTAGCCACCAGTCTCCAGGGGCTTACACAGCACCCCCTCTCACACCCAACGCCCAACTCAGCCTGCCGCCCTGCTCCCACGGTCTCCCTGCTCCCACGGCCTCCCGCACCCCTCCCTTCGCGATGCACCACGAGGGTGGAAGGGACCTGAATGGAGGAGGGGAGGGGGCGGCGGGTGCCGGCTACGGATTCCTGGTGACCTCGGGGCCTCACCGTCAAACCCCACAGTGAGACCCCGGGACTGCCCCGCCGCGGAGGGGAGCCCGCACACGTGTTCCGGACCGAGCTGCGGGGCGGGAGTGAGGCTCCCGCAGGCCCGGGGTGCGGAGGTCGGCAGGGGTGGGGAGAGGGGGGCGGGGGGCGGGAGTAAGGCCCCTGCATGCCCCGGGGGGGCGGGGGGCGGCCCTCTCACCCACCTGCACGCCCGTGTAGTTCTCGAAGAAGAAGAGCACCATGCTCTGGTAGACGCAGTAGAGCCGGTCGTCCACCGCCTGGTACAAGCGGGCGGGCAGGCAGGCGGACAGCAGGCGCCAGGCGCCCCAGGCCAGCAGGTAGGTGGGCGCCGAGCCCAGCATCACGGCGGCCGGCAGCACGGAGCGCAGCGAGTACATGTGCAGCACCAGCGACAGCAGCATCGCGGCGGCGACCGAGGGCCCTCTGCACCGCGGCCCCGCCTGCCCGGCCGCCCGCCCGGCCGCCCCGCGGCCTCCGCCCGCGGCCAATCAGCGCGCAGCCCCGGGCCGCCCGCCGCCCCGGAGATGCCCAGCCGCTCCGCTCGGGCCTCCGCCCCCAGCCGCATGGGCCGCGCCGCCGCCGCCGGAGGGCGGGCGGGCGGGAGGGCGGGTGCGAGGCAGGCGGACGCGGGCCCTGCGGGCTGGGAGCTCGGGCGCGCGCTCCCCCCGTGACCCTATCCCGTCATCCTGCGCCCTGCCGGGGGCGGGGCTTCGTGGCTACAACAAGAATCCTGATTGGCTGCCCGTCTCCACTCCCGTTGGAGCGGGAGTCCTTGGCAACAACACGACTCCCGATTGGTCGAGGCGGCTGACGGTTGAAGTGCACCTGCCCGCGGGCTCCAGCTTCTGCGCATGCTCCGGAGCCCCGCCGGGCCGAGGGTGGCAGGTGGCGGAGGGCGGGCCGCGCGGGGCGGAAGCGGGCCGGCCGGACCGTGGCCGCGGGTCCGCCGGAGGGGACGCCCGCCTCCGGCCCGCACGCCCCGTGGGCCCGGCGGCGCGCCCGCACCCAGCCGCGTCCTGATGGGAGCGGACCGGTGCGCACCGCACCTGGATGCGCGGCAGACGCCGCCCGGGCGGGGAGGATCGCGCCCTGGGATCCCCCGTCCCCCGCCCCGGGAGGCTCAGAGCCGCCTTCCTTCTCACGCAGCCATGAGGCCGCGGCGGGGCGAGCAGGCGGCAGCCCTTCACATGCCTCCCCTCGCCGTCACTGGACCGGTCCGTCCGCCTCGCCCACTCCCCCCCCCCCCCCCGGGCCGGCCTCGGACTCGTCCTGATGTTTCACGAGAAGCGGCGTCGGGTGTGTGTGTTTGGGGGGTGCGGGTAGTGGTTGTGTGTGTGTGAGGGGTTGGGGGGTCCCTAACGGGCTTGACACCCTCCGGGACCTGCCCGGACCGGCGGGCGGGCTGCAGCCTGGATGCCAGGGCGGCTCCGGGGCGGGACAGGCAGCCTGTCCAGGATGGCGCCCTCAGAAGAAGGCCCGAGGCCCGGAGAGAAACCCGGTTTTCTCAGGAAGCCGGGTGGGTTTATGGGAGGCATTCTGGGAGGTGCTCAGGGGCGGTGGTGGGGCGTCACTTGCACGCGATGGGACAGGCGGTAGATGGTGACTCTGGGGCCCACCAGGTGCCTGAGGCCTCAGGGAGCCGGTGTCTGCACAGCTATGTCCCTGAGGGAAGCGCACACACACCGAGGGGTCCTGGGTTCCATAATGTGACCGGACGTCCCGCTTTTGGCGGGACAGCCCCGATTTTTAACAATTTGTCCTGCGTTAAAACGCCGCGGGACGCCGGACAAATTGTTAAAAAGCGGGACGTCTGGTCACCTTAGGGTTCGATGCCCAGTCAGAGGCATGTGGGGGACAGCCAGTGTGTGACTCACATCATGTTTTCCCCCTAACCTCCACCCCCTCTCTGAAAAGCGACCCCGCAGTGAGGAGTCAGGAAAAGGGAAGAAGCAGCTGCCCGCCAGCGGCCTTCTCCGGTGTGGCAGGAAAGTGGGCTCCTGGTGGCCCCAGAGTTCCCGGCATTAGAGGGAGGGGACTCATGGCACAGTGGGCCTCATGGTAACCATCTCATCGGCTCTGGGACAGCGACAGCTCCTCAGCTGACATTTGAGAGTGGACTGAGCCCAGCTGGCCATAGAAGGAAGGGAGAGGGAATCAGGTGAGGACAGTGGCAGCGTGTACCCGAAGGCAGTGTGTACCCAGGGGAGGCGTGTACCCAAAGGAAGTGTATACCTGGGGGAGGCGTGTACCCAAAGGCAGTGTGTACCCAAAGGCAGTGTGTACCCGGGGGAGGTGTGTACCCAAAGGCAGTGTGTACTCGAAGGCAGTGTGTGTGCCCGAAGGCAGTGTGTACCCGGGGGAGGCGTGTACCCGAAGGCAGTGTGTGTACCCAAAGGCAGTGTGTACCCGGGGGAGGCGTGTACCTGAAGGCAGTGTGTGTACCCAAAGGCAGTGTGTACCCAAAGGCAGTGTGTACCCGGGGGAGGTGTGTACCCAAAGGCAGTGTGTACCCGGGGGAGGTGTGTACCCAAAGGCAGTGTGTACCCAGGGGAGGCGTGTACCCGAAGGCAGTGTGTGTACCCAAAGGCAGTGTGTACCCGGGGGAGGCGTGTACCTGAAGGCAGTGTGTGTACCCAAAGGCAGTGTGTACCCAAAGGCAGTGTGTACCCAAAGGCAGTGTGTACCCGGGGGAGGTATGTACCCAAAGACAGTGTGTACCCAAAGGCAGTGTGTACCCGGGGGAGGTGTGTACCCAAAGGCAGTGTGTACCCGGGGGAGGCGTGTACTTGAAGGTGGCATGTGCCTGAGGGCAGTGTGTACTTGGAAGGCCCACGTGGGCACTGCAGTGGGCCACACAGCTCTGTTTTTTTAACCTAGATGCCCCCTAAAAGAATGCCTTGTGCTTCCCACACACATTTTTAAGTTAAGATCTAAAATTAAAAAAGGGGTATGTTCTGATAAATTGTGCATGACATTTTCAAATAAAGTGGTGACAGATCTTTTAAATGGACCCCTTGGGTTCTAAATACCATGGTGATTTAGTACCCACAATCATCCATTAAAAAATACTCGGGAATTTTACATTGGTTCTTTTTCTTTTTGGAAACATTTTCATTCCATTGAATGTATCTCAATGGAGTATCCTTTTTCCTTCATAGTCTCTTATTAACCAGACTATTTCATCAAGGTTCTCACAGTGGGAATTTCTTCTGGATTGAGCTCTTTCTATTGTTAGCAACATGATTGAATCCATATAGATCACAAAATCTTGTGTGTGATGACTGTAAATAAAAGTTGTTTTTCTTGCCGAGACCGGTTTGGCTCAATGAATAGAGCATCGGCTTGGGGAATGAAGGGACCTGGGTTTCGATTCCGGTCAAGGGCATGTACCTTGGTTGTGGGCATATCCCCAGTAGGGGGTGTGCAAGAGGCAGCTGATCGATGACTCTCTCTCATCGATGTTTCTAGCTCTCTATCTCTCTTCCTTCCTCTCTGTACAAAATCAATAAAATATATATATTTTTTGAAGTTGTTTTTCTTGATATGCTTGTCATAATAGTGCCTTAATTGAAATAAATTGCCTCGTCTCTTGGTGTCCTCCTGGGTGTCACACCTGTCCTCCTGGGTATCATACCTGTCCTGGTGTCACACTGTCCTCCAGGTATCACACCTGTCCTCCAGGTGTCACACCTGTCTGGGTGTCACATCTGTCCTCCTGGGTGTCACACCTGTCCTTTGGGTATCACACCTGTCCTCTGGGTGTCACATCTGTCCTCCTGGGTGTCAAACCTGTCCTCCGGGTGTCACACCTGTCCTCCGGGTGTCACACCTGTCCTCCGGGTGTCACCCCTGTCCTCCGGGTGTCACACCTGTCCTCCCGGTATCACACCTGTCCTCCGGGTGTCACATCTGTCCTCCTGGATGTCACACCTGTCCTCCTGGGTGTCACACCTGTCCTCCGGGTATCACACCTGTCCTCCTGGGTATCACACCTGTCCTTCCAGTGTCACACCTGTCCTCTGGGTGTCACACCTGTCCTCCGGGTGTCACACCTGTCCTCCGGGTATCATACCTGTCCTCTGGGTATCACACCTGTCCTCTGTGTATCACACCTGTCCTTCGGGAGTCACATCTGTCCTCCCGGTATCACACCTGTCCTCTCAGTGTCACACCCGTCGTCACACCTGTCCTCAGGGTCTCACACCTGTCCTCTCGGTGTCACACCCGTCGTCACACCTGTCTTCCTGGTATCACACCTGTCCTCCGGGTGTCACACCTGTCCTCCATGTGTCACACCTGTCCTCCCGATATCACACCTGTCCTCCCAGTATCACACCTGTCCTCTGGGTGTCACACTTGTCCTTCCAGTATCACATCTGTCCTCTGGGTGTCACCTATCCTCCCGGTATCACACCTGTCCTCTGGGTGTCACACCTGTCCTCTGGGTATCACACCTGTCCTCTGGGCTGTCATACCTGTCCTCTCGGTATCACACCTGTCCTCTGGGTGTCACACCTGTCCTCCAGGTATCACACCTGTCCTCACGGTATCACACCTGTCCTCCGGTGTCACACCTGTCCTCTGGGCTGTCATACCTGTTCTCCCGGTATCACACCTGTCCTCCGGTATCACACCTGTCCTCCGGGTATCACACCTGTCCTCCGGTGTCACACTTGTCCTCTGGGTATCACACCTGTCCTCTGGGTGTCACATCTGTCCTCCGGGTATCACACCTGTCCTCCGGTGTCACACCTGTCCTCTGGGTATCACACCTGTCCTCTGGGCTGTCATACCTGTCCTCCCGGTATCACACCTGTCCTCCAGGTGTCACACCTGTCCTCCCGGTATCACACCTGTCCTCCAGTGTCACACCTGTCCTCTGGGCTGTCATGCCTGTCCTCTGGGCTGTCACACCTGTCCTCTGGGTATCACACCTGTCCTCTGGGCTGTCATACCTGTCCTCCGGGTGTCACACCTGTCCTCCGGGTGTCACAGCTGTCCTCCCGGTATCACACCTGTCCTCCGGGAGTCACACCTGAACTCAGTGCAGTGTGAGGCAGTATGACTTGGGAAGGGCCATTGACAAATGCCACATGAGCCCAGACCCAGGAGTCTTCCGGGCAGATCAGTTCTAGGAAAGTTAAGCATCTGAAAATCGGGTCCCTTAAAACTACTTGTGGCCACCCCATTCCTTATTCCCAGAGTCCCCGGGGCGTTTGAAGATTCTGGCAGAAAAAGGAAGGGGGGAGGTGATGGGAGCCGAGTGGAAAGGAAATGGTCAAGAACAAGATGGCTGGGTCTCATGGGATATGCGAGCGGCTTTGGACATGACCCAAGGTCCTGGGAGCCCCTAGGAGGAGAGCCGATGGGGAGCAGAGGGGGCTGGTACTAGATCGCCAGCTGGGGGGCTGGTGCCCAGACCCACAGGGCCGGTGAGTTCCTCAGGCCCAGCCACGGGGGCAGCAGGCGGTCTGAGGAGAGCAGGCAGGTGGCCGGATTTGTCAGCGTAAATGCGTGAGGACAGAGGCAGGGAGCAGCTTCCGGAAGAGGCAGGCAGAGTCACACCTGCCATCGCTCTCCTGACACCAGGTGGACACACACACGGGTACTGGTGACACACGCTCCACTCTCTGCTCCTGAAAACCCAGTCTGTTTCCGTTTGCAGATGTCCAGAAACTGCTGCTGCCGGTGTCTCTGAGGGAGGAAGCGGGGTCAGCGGAGGGTCAGCTGCACTTCCGAATTGTTGGAGGTTTTACAAGGAAGCTCTGATGCAACAGAGGCCGCCCTGCCTGTGTGTCCAGCCACACGGCCCTGCCCGCTGTCCCAAGGTGAAGGCGGAGCAGGTGCAGCCTCTGGGTGGGGAGCAGGACTGACGGACACAGGAATCCATGTGGACCAAGGACTTCCCCAGGCACGGCTCCGGTGTGGCCCCCGGAGCACAGACCTGGTGAAGGAGGAGGAGGGAGGCCACAGGGCTTCCCACATGCCCGGCTCCCATGCCCACGGTGAGCGGGGGCGGATCTGTGGGCCTGGGACCCAGTCCGGTGGAGAAGCTGGAGCCTTAAGGAGAAGAGCACGCATTTACCTCACGATTACATCGGAACGTGGCTATTAGTTCAAAATGATTTTTAAAAAATCTAAAAAAGTAAGACTTTAAAAGCTGACATGTCCAGTCCTAACCTGTTTGGCTCAGTGGACAGAGCGTCGGTCTGCAGACTGAAGGGTCCCAGGTTCGATTCCGGTCAAGGGCACGGACCTTGGTTGAAGGCACATCCCCAGTAGGAGGTGTGCAAGAGGCAGCTGATCGATGTTTCTCTCTCATTGATGTTTCTAGCTCTCTGTCCCTCTCTCATCCTCTCTGTAAAAAAAAAAATCAATAAAATATATATATTTTTAAATGTATTAAAAAAAAAAGAAAAAAAGAAAAGCTGACATGTCCGGAAAAATGACTACGTGTAGCTGCCACAGCGTATACCTTTCTTAGGCTGTGGAACCACAGATGTTCCCTAGTCTGGCATGGTGAGTAGACATTGATTTTTACCTCTGGTCGTTAGGGTGTGTGAAACAGCCGCATGCCATGGCTCACACACACCCGATGGAAGTTGGCGATCTTATGCAGCTTAAATGTGCTTGTCTCACAGACTGTATGGTGCCCAGGCCGATGTGTGTCCCTCCGGCGTGATGGTAGTTCATCCAGTAGGACAAGCGACACATTGAGAGGCTTGGTATCACGCTAACGGGCTGATTTGTAGACAAAGTTCAGGTTCAGGCCACGAGGCTGTGCCTACATTTATAGACAAAGTCTCCCAGCTTCCTCAGGAGGGGGCCTCTCAGTCCATGACTGGTGTCACCAGCACTCACCCCCTCGGCACCCCATTTATTCTATGTCTGTAACCCAGGGACACTCAGAAATGGCGACAGTGTGCACTATTCCGTGTTTATGGCCTTTCGTGCTTTAAAACAAACACTGACAAGTATTAAAACTACTTTTTGGAAATGTTTTCTAATAAATGGCTTCAGATGTTCTGAAGTGAGACTGTTGTAGCCGGCCCTCCTGCTTCTCTGATCTGTGCTCATCTGATCGATGTCCGGTGGACACTCATCTTCTCCTGCTGAAAGGTACGTCCTTTGGAAGCGGTCCTTCCCGCTTCCCGCATTCCAGTAAAGAAAACAACGTGGCAGCCAGACCCTCCGGATGAGCTGCAGCCTCAGCGCCTGAGCAACCATCAGCGCTCCATCTGCCAAGGGTTGTCAGCAGCATCCTGAGCAACGTCCCTCCCTCCCGGGGCACCAATGACCCGCACAGGTGTCACTTGCCTGGACCTGTGGCCTGTTACCCGGCTCCTGTGTCTCTGCTGTTTCAATGGGTGCCTCCACTCCCTACGCCCCCTAGAGGTGTTCAGAGGGAGGACAAGCTCCCCTCACCGCCTGCTTCCTACCCCATCTCTAGTGCAGCTTCTCTTCTTTTTAACATGTTTTTATTGATGTCAGAGAGGAAGGGAGAGGGAGAGAGAAGCATCAGTGATGAGAGAGAATCACTGATCTGCTGCCTCCTGCACACCCCATATGGGGGATCGAGCCTGCAACCTGGGCGTGTGCCCTGATCTGGAATCAAACTGTGATCTCCTGGCACAGAGGTTGATGCTCAACCACTGAGCTACGCCGCCCAGGCTAGTACAGCTTTTCTTATCAAAACTTAAAGTCCAGATTAAAAAAAAAAAGATTGTTTTTTTCTCTTTTGGAGATCCATGCCAATTTCTATTGTTTACTAAATCGTATATCACTCTCAGATTTGTCCTCTCTGCCAAGAGCTGTATTTATTAGTTAATATTACTCCGCCAAGTCGTTCCTCTTAAATCTTTCAGAGCCCTGATGTGTCCACAGGGTTTTCACCATCAATCTCATGTTTTCACCAAAAGATGTATTATTCTCACAGCACTCTCACGTTCAGACTCCCTACACATATTTTAGGTTAAATCCTTTTTTTTCCTCAGTGTTTTCTCATTCGCCCTTCTTTGCCCAGTATCATCTATTGTAGTTTAACAAGTATCTGACCGCACCATGCCCATTGGGCCCGAACCAGGCACCACTGGAGGAGGGAGACAGGCCTTACCCCCGGGAGCTCGCGGGCCCGAAGGCGACTGGTCAGACCCACTGTTCAGCTCACCAGACACTGTTAGCGCCCCTGTCTCTCTCATGGACTGGGGCTTCTAGAGAGACACAGTAGGAACCCCTGAAGATTCAACCATAAGTGACGGCAAGCCTGAGGGGAGGGAGGGAAAAGCATGGAAATGGCCAGCGCAGCCGTGTCCACCCGTGTTTCCATCTCCTGACTCACCCGTGGCCTGGCCACATGACAGGACAACACGTGTTGCAGAGGGAAGCCTCCGAGAGGGTGGCAAGAGCCCCTTAAGCAGAGCACAGTTTAGAAGTGAGATTACGGGCTGTGAGATGCTAACACTGGCCCTCAGAAGGGTCCTATTAGCACTACAGCAGGCTTTAGGGGAAGGACAATCAACACAAAAACAAAACTCACCCAGAATACATGACAAACTCTGACCCTTACGGCAGAGCATCAGAACCCATGAAGGAATGCTGACAGGATTACTCGAAAGGGACACTGAGCCGATAGTGAAGCGAGGGTGTGAGACGCCAGCTCAGCACACCTCTCTGTACACCAGCCAGGACATCCAATGTGGACATTTAAACAGTTTCATTGATGAATAAAAAACAGCCCAGCTGGTGTGGCTCAGTGGTTGAGCCTTGACCTATGAACCAGGAAGTCGTGGTTCAATTCCCAGTCAAGGGCACATGCCCAGGTTGCAGTTTCGATCCCCAGTGGGGGGCGTCAGGAGGCAGCCAATCAATGATTCTTTCTCATCACTGGTGTTTCTATCTCTCACTCCCTCTCTCTTCTTCTCTAGAATCAATGAAAATGCATTAAAAAAATCTTAGAAATGAGATTAGCCAAGGAGACAAGAGATTTGCACATTGAAAACTACACAAAGGTCATCACCAGAAATTAGAACCATGGGAGAGAGCCCACGGTCATGGTTTGGAAGACTTACTACTTCTAACACCCAAGTGACCCACGGATGGAACGCAACTGCTCTCCATATGCAGTGGGGCTGTTTTGTCTGCTGTTTTTGTTTTACAGAAATGGAAACGTCCATCCTAAAGCCCATGTGGAATCTGAAGGACCCTGAGCAACCAAACAACCCTGAAGAAGAACGAAGCTGAGGACACACGTTTCCTGGCTGCAAAGCTACAGTAATGAAGAGCGGCTGGGTGTGAGGACAGACGCACGGACCAATGGTGCGGACGGGACAGACAGCCCAGGGATAAGCTGCCGGTGTCTGGTCGGTCGTCTTTTGACAAAGGCGCCAAGGCCATCCCAGGCGGAAAGGCCAGGAAAACTGGGTACCCACCAGCCGAAGAGCCCTTCTCTGACACAATAGAGAAAGAACTAACGCAACATGGTTCAAACACCTACACTTGAAGCTAAAACGATAAAATTTACAAGAAAATGGAGGGGGAAGTCGTCACCACACTGGAGTTGGCAGTGACCCCCAAGGCACAGGCCACACAGAAAACCACACTCGGGACTTCATCCCAACGTGACGCTTCCATGCAACACGGATACTGTCGAGCGAGGAGGGGACGCTAGCATCGGAGGAGATACTTGCATGTCGTGTATCTGATCGAGGATTGGTACCTGGGACAAATTGAGCCCCTACGCTCAGCAACATAGACGAACCCAGTTCAAACATGGGCAAGAGACCCAGCTGGACATTTCTCCAGAGAAGACATATAAATGGTCAGAGAGCTCCTGAAAAGAGGCTCAACAGCGCCGCTCCTTAGGGGAATGCACATCAAAGCCACAGACACTGCCCAGGACCCTGGAGGGTGACTTAAAAACAACAGGAAGGAACCAGAGGCGGAGAGGCCACGGGGAAGGTGAACGGGCAGTCGCCATGGCAGACACCTTGGCGGCTCCTCAGAAACTGAACCTGAGTCACCAGGTGTTTTAAAGAGTTGAAAGCAGGAAATCCAACAAGTGCTTGTCTACCAGTGCCCACAGCAGCATCCTTCACATTAGCTAATGGTGGAAGCAGCCCAGGTACGGGGAACAGGCCAAGAGATTCTGTAACAAGGAGCATAAGCTGCACTGAAAAGGCATTCTTCCTGAAGAGCGAGCATCTGCTACAAAACTCGATGGGCCTGGGAAGCAGTGCGGGCAGTGAAATTAGCCAGATACAAAATGACAGACATTTCATGACTCCGTACATGGGAGGCACCCAGAATGGGCCATTATGTAGGAAGTGGGATAGAGGTCGTGGGGACTGTGGGGAGGAGAGGGCTTGCTGGTGGCTGTGGGGTTCTGCTTGGGATAACACAAGAGTTCTGGAAGTGGTGGTGGGCTGATGGCTGGATAATACTGGGAACGCACTTAATGCCGCCGAATTGCATACCTGCCAATGTGTACACGATACATGTTATGCTGCAAGTACTTTGCCACATTAAGCATTAAAAGCTGTAAACAATCTGATAGAATTTAAGAGATAAATCAGCAATTCTGCTTAAAGACCTCAAGACCACTCTTGGTAATGGCCAGGACAAACAGAGCAAAAATCAGCAAGGATGTATGAGAACTGAAAAACATCACCAATCAGCTCAAGCTGACTGAGACTTATAGGCTACTACTTGGTCAAAAACAGTAGAACACCTGTTATTTTCAAGTGCCCAGGAACATTCACCAAAATAGACCATTTTCTGGAACATAGAACATACCCTAATAAATTTAAAAGCATAATTCCAGGTGTTCCCACTGACCATAATAAATTAAATTAGAAAATCAATAACACCAAAATCTCGGGGGGGGGGGGAATCTGCAAATATGTACTTTTAAAAAATACGTTTTTATTGATTTCAAAGAGGAAGGGAGAGGGAGAGGGAGAGATAGAAACATCAATGATGAAAATCATCGATCGGCTGCCTCCTGCATGCTCCCTCCCAGGATCGAGCCTGTAACCGGGGGATGTGCCCTGACCTCCTGGTTCATAGGTCGATGCTCAGCCACTGAGCCACACTGGCCAGCACCATGTGCTTCTAATAGCCAATGGGG